TCCCAACGCGGGGCTATGAGCAGCACCGAGGGGCGTGTTTCCCTGATCCTCTGTAAGACCTGTGGCAACAGGGAGAGTGGAGGGAATGCATAAAGCGGGCGGCTGGGCCACTCCTGGGCTAGCGCGTCCTCGCTCTGTGAGAAAAATATTGGGCAGTGAGCATTCTCCTCTGACGCTAAGAGATCCATTTCTGCTCTGCCGAATATTCGCCACAGTTTCTGCACTGTTTGAACGTGCAGGGACCATTCTCCCGGAAGGATGGGGTTCCTGCACATGCGTCGCTCTTAGCGAGAGCAGGTGGCTCTGGAACCAAACTAAAATGTGTTTCGTCAGCAGGAAGAAGTTCCTGTATCTGACACCACCCTGACGGTTGAGATAGGAGACTACAGCCGTATTGTAACTCCGTCTGTGAAGACATTAACTCCGTCTGTGATTGTGCCAAAATCAGCCAGTCGTCCAAATAGTTCAAAATTCGCAGCCCCTGACTCTGCAGGGGGGCGAGCGCTGTATCCATGCACTTCATGAACGTACGGGGTGCTAAGGATAGGCCGAACGGGAGGACGGTGTATTGATAAACCTGGCCGTCGAAGGCGAAACGTAGAGAAGGCCTGAGACGGGGATTTATCTGGATCTGAAAATAGGCATCTTTCAGATCTAGAGAGATGAACCAGTCCCCCTTGCGTACATGCGCGAGGAGTTTCTTGACTGTAAGCATTTTGAACGGTCTCCTCATGAGCGCTTTGTTCAAACATCTGAGATCTAAGATCGGTCTGAGGCCGCCGTCTTTCTTGGGGAGAAAAGAAAATAACGGCCGACAGAGAGGTGTGCAAGGCATCTTTATAAAGACGCTCGCTGCTCTTTTGTGAAGTTACACAAGCAAAATACAAATATAGGGATACGTCGCCAGATGGCGTTAGCTCACAGGATGGCTGAAGGTGGCGAAGACGGCCGGCTTCCTCAGACTCTGTCCACGCTCGCTAAGAGATGCCTTCTCGACGGCGACGCGGCTTCCTCTCTGAGATCAGCAGGTGCATATAGCCTCGCTGAATTGATGAAAATCAGAAAACAGCGGGAAACTCGCCGTTTTGGCGGGCTTTGACGCAATGAGAGCGTGTCAGCTTCTCATTGGCCGCGAGTTCAACCGAGTTCCCTCATAGGCTGTAGCAGTTCTACCTGAGCGAACCAATTAGCTGCTAGCTAGCCTTCTCATGGTCTGCTGCAGATGAACTGCGTTGACAATGGATACAAAATTAAAGGATAATTTTTTGGCTTCAACTTCTCAGAAAAGATGAATACGAGAGATTTGTGAAATCACAAATTAAAATGCACACAAACGTGTCCCTGCCTACAGGTTGAGCAGAAAGGCTGCACAATTTGACAAGTTTGTATCCAGCACTTTTGAAAATGTGAATCCGAATGCCTTCCGAATGCGTCTCTGTCCCCAGCACATTTCAAACCAAACTGACACCTGTGATACTACCTACAGCAAAACACAATATCTGCCCAAACACCACCCCTCATTCACGCAAAATACACAGGAACGTAATCACTGTAATTACTATGCAAACTGGACAAATAAATCAACAGACTCTGAGTTTTTCAAGGGTTGTACGAAACCATTGCGGTCTGTACACAGTCAGCCAGAATCTTTCCGTCTCAACCACAGCTGCTCTTCTCTGCTGCTTCAGATAAGTTCTTTACTGTGCGACTCAATTCTTGGCCACTGAATCAGATGTCTCTGAGGAACCGTGTAAGAGTGTGCCACAAATCCTTGACAACCCACTTCCACTGGATAAACCTGGACTCTCCATTCTCGCTGTTCTGCTTGAGTGGCCAGATGAGCATACTGCAGTTTCTTCCTCTCATATGCCTCATCTACCACATCCTCCCATGGCACCGTTAACTCTATCAGTTTAACAATGCGTGCTGATCCAGACCACAGATCAATATGTTGTCATAGGTTAGTGGTGGCAATCTCAGGTGGAAAAATAAGTCGTTAATCAAGATCAGCCAGCATCTTCCAGTCCCTAGCAGTTTCCAGTTGTCCTGGGTGAGAATTGGTGTTAACAACTTTTCTTGGTGATTGCTCGCCTGGGCGAAGGAATATTGTGTTCTGCATGTAATGTTTTGCTAGAACAGGCGGCAACTTATTGGTCATACTACGCTTGCCGCTTCCAATGCTAAAGCCAAACATCGCAGTACTTGGTCATGGCGCCAAGTAAACCGACCTTGGCTAAGAGCCACCTTACATCCTGTCAGAATGTGCCATAATGTGGCAGGTGATGAACACAAAGGAGAAGAGGGATCCTCTCCTACCCAGAGGTTTAGGTTCTGCAGTGATGGGAGGAGAACATGTTGACCTGATAAAGACAATGATCCCTACTCTCTTCCATTGACCAAAGGTCTTGTTCCACACTCCCCCATCTCATCCATTCCCTCTGCTTGGCCTAGGAAATGGCCTTTATACACCTCATCCTCTCCTGCTTTCGCACCTTGTTGACTACCAGCTTCCTCCTTGGAGCTGGGCCTGCCTTCCTCCATTTAGGAGGAACATACTGAGCCCAAATTCCCCTCTCCCATGCTTTACCTGTCCCACGGTATCCACAATAGAGGCAAAGGCCTCTACCACAGATTTTTTTTGCTGACCACTTTCTACACGTTTTTAACACAGGTGCTGCCTCCCTTACACATTTCTAAGATCATTTCCAGTCTTACCTGATTCCTTTAATATAATGTCCCATTCTGCTGAGGCAGCGTGGAACTCTCAACGATTTCCTGATGCATGAACGTATTAACGCTTCCAGAAGAAACCTCGTAAACAGTCAGTGGCCACAGCAACCTTGGCAGTTGACCAAACTGAAAGGACCAGAGTTTTAGTTTGCCTGGTAGAGCACAGCTGTTTATGCTCTTCAACCCTTCCACTGCTTGCCGTCTAAACTTCTCCCACTCAAACTGTGTCCTTTAGATCCCCAGCGTACCATCTCCCAAGACTCTTCACTGACTTCTCAGAAATTGTTGCTATTGCCTCACCATTAATCAAGAATGTTTTATCTACTATCGAGATGCTCCTTGATTTATAAAATAAGTAAAATAATCAAAGTCACAAAACATCCGTTTAAAAACTTGGGGACAAATGTGAAAATTTGAGCATTACATCTTACACTGTAAAAAAATTGTTGGTTTAACTTAAAAAATGAAGTAACCTGGTTGCCTTGAAACTTTAAGTTCATTAAAATTAAAAAATTGAGTTAATGCAATGGAGATTGATTTAATAATCAGAAACTCAAAATGTTATGTTATCTGAACCACATACATTTTCTAAGTTCATTTGACAAAAGAAAAAATGTTGTGATAACAAATCATGTAAACATTTTTTTTTTTACAGAGGTTGTTATTTTCATTTTGTTTTCGATTTAAATTAATTCAAGAAAGAGGACAATTATTACATTGACATTAAATTGACAATTATTTAAATTGACAATTATTGCACTTTTTTATTATTTATTTATTATTTACATATGAAAAGTATATTTTGGCACATATTTCAAGATATTCAGCCTTTCAATAGACTTAACAACCTCCATGTGTCCTTTTCATAGTAGACATCTGGATTGTGTGCGTCATCACCATGACTCGCTTGACCTATTGCCTGTCTGGGGTCCTATGTGAGTCCTTTCCTTTACCTACAGGGTCATTAATAAAGCTATGACTCATCAGAACAGATCATCTGCTTTTGGGACCTCATTGCACATATAAGAGAGGTTCTCTATATGGACTGCCTTACTAATTGGGATGTACAATATGCATACATTTTTTACATCTATAAAATACAAGGGCAGATCCTGTACTGAGTAAACGTTTTGCAGTGTCTGCGTTATTCCTACGAAGCCGATCTAGGGAATAACTCTTATAATATTTTGTAGATGCTCTACTTGGTAAACGTGTCTTAAAAGTATGCATACAGCGAATAGTTGTTCTTGTGCTGACACAGCTGTATGTATCAGAAATATTTGGATCAGAGGCAGTGCAAATCAAAAGCTTTCATACATTAGGAAAAACATGGTTTTCACTTTCCTCTAATTATGTTGCTGTTTTCTTACACATGGATAATTTCCTTTAATTTGTTTTCGTACATTAGCTTCGAGTTAAAAGGAGTGTGTTCCACACCTTCGAGCTGTAAGAGCCGGTCAAACCCAGCCGAAAGTAAGAGGAAGCACTGTGTCCCTGCACTAAATATTTGCCTCCATCTTGGCTTTCATGGAACAGTGAATGAACACAGATTGTCATTTAGTTATTTTCAGAATTGTTTATGCATAATTATATAATTAAGATAAAAAATACACAATATTGTGAATGCCAACTACCTTTTTAGTATCTTGTTTTCACTCGGTTGTTTGTGTACATTCATATATAAGACACTTATTATAAATTAAGAACTAAGGGAAGAGTCAATTTCAACTATTTCATTATTTCATTATACACACAAAAATTGGTCTACATATATAATTTAAGTTATATATGTCACTTTTATGAAAAAAAAAAAATAATAATAATGAAATTATTTAAATATAACACATTCTCATTCTCTCTCAGAGTCCGCTTCACACACACACTTGCTTTGGGCACTTGATTCCTGACACAACCCAGCACTGAGAGTGGGACACGGGGATAACTGTACAATAAGGTTTCCTTTGTTACCATTAGTTAACAGCCTATCTCTGTTTACATTGTTAACAATAATTTATATAATATAATATATATATATATTTCAATTTAATTATATATATATATATATATATATATATAATATATATATAACCTTAAAAACTGCAGACTTTGGTCTATTTGCTTTATTCTGGAACTTGACTGCCCTCTGGAGATTTTTAGAAAGTCTACACCCTCTTCATAAGGCCAATATATCCTATGCTATTTCAAAACAGCTTGATAATAAAAACAATAATTGTAATTGCCAAAGACTGTATAAAAATGTCCAGTTGACCTCATGATTGAAAGTATTTTTATTTGATGAGAATATGTTACATATAAAGGCAACAGTGAGTGAAATATGAACCCACAAATAAATACAAGGGATATTTATTACAGAAGGAAGGACATTGTTAGGGTGAAGGCAGAAGGAAACTGACATTGTATTTTCCAAACATGAGTCTCCCAATGAGCTAACTGGTAAATAAACACAGAACACCTACATCTATGTACAACACATGTTCCTGTATGTTAAGCCACTGTTAAACAGAAATTCTGACATCTTTTTGTTATGTTATTCTGGTTTCTTGTGTGAACAACCGACGAACATCAACAAAAACAAACAAAATACTTTTAGACTTTTAACTTCACTATAACTATTATTCAATATATCTCAGCCTCTGTTATTTACAACAGCAATCACATTTTCTTACTGAGCCTTTGATGCATTATGCATGTGTATATATACGTATATATATATATATATATATATATATATATACATACATATATATACTTTTGACCCCTTTAATATACTGTTTTTGTTAAAGAAATGTTAATAAGAATAACTAACTGTATATTGCATGACTTGTGAAATGAAAGGGGTAGAAGCCATGAATTTGGGCACTTGATTTGCCTCCACTACATAAAGAAAAGTTGGAAGTGGAAATGTGGAAAAGTTACCAAAGCCCTTGAAAGTAATAAAAATGTCTGTCTGTAAATATTTTCAACACTAGTACTGAGAGAATATAAACATGCTGTCAACTGTGCCCGATATAAAAAAGGACATTAATGTTAACTAATACTTACTTTTGTCCAATATCATCTCACTCATTAACATAAAACTGGGCTCTTTGTAAAGGTGGAGTATGTTGAGGTCTGTGCAGGAAAGGTAAGTGAAATAATGTATCTTAGTAAAGCTAAACAAAATGGTACCAACATTTCTCTTGATCCTATACCCATCAATCTTTGCACCCTCCCTGTACGGCCACTGGGTCAATAGGTGCTGAGGCGTTTTAGGCACTGGCAAATTAATTCCAGTCAACACTTCCAGCATGTTCATAACACATTTATCACCATCTGATTGCCACAACTGTCCAACAGGGTGCAGCACAGAAGCGTCCAAAGACAATGTGTCCATGCAATGATCCAATGGGCTGAGCTCTCCAAGGTGCTTAGCAGACTGATGCTTCAATGTAAAGCTGTGCATCAGTGGATAATGTGATTGTAGACACATCCTGTTCTACTAAATCCATGTCATGTCTCCAGCAATACTAATCTGATCTGATCTAAACAGTTTCAACATATACAGTTCATTGCCATAGCTTTAAGATGGATCTGTGGCAGAGCAGGGTCTCTTTTGGTTGGTTAATTCCATGTAAATGTCAGAGCGGAGGAATCGAGGGTACGAGTCTCTTTCCATTAGTCCAAAGATTCTGCTCTGAGCCAGGTCAAAGCAGTCTCCGCAGATGTTCTCCATGTTTCCCTTGATGTGCTCCCTTGTGTAAGAATCCAGATTAACCTTGGAAATAAAACAAGACTATGCTTAGGACACTTTTCATATTTATTTTGGATTGGTTTTCTGGGACATCTGCTCTCTGGAAGAAATTACAAATAATAATAATACTAATACAAATAAATAAGAATACACAAACAAATTCTGTTTTTGCAGAAAACAACACAGTACATCATGTCAACTGAAATGCATTATTACGTGTATATTGCACATGACAGTACAGGATGTGCATTTCTCTATAATTACTGCATGATTTCTGTAAATAGGTTACTTTTTGTGTTTAGGGTTAGACTTTTAGGTAAATGTATTTATTTAAAACAACATTAAAAACAGTTCATACATACGATGATGACTGGAATATGTTATACATTTCTGAATTAAAATAAATTTAGGTTTTTCTTTTAAGTCAAAATGTCACAGTGATGTGAGGATCATGAAGAAAAAGTCTCTTCAGCACTAAAATGTTGAACTTTTTGTATTTTGAGTTATCAACCTCAACTAAATTTAAACTAAAACTTTTGAAAACATTTTGGTTAACTAAAACAAAGCTGAAATAAAATATAAATATTAGACAAAAAACTGAAAGAAAATTTAAATATTAGGCTGACATAAGTTTAAGTAAAAAGGGACTAAAATTAGAAGCTGGAAACAAAAAGATTCAAATTAAAATAAATTAAACCTACATAGTAATATCTAAAATTAACAATAACTAAAAGAAAATGACAAAAGCACACAGTAAAAAATAAAAAAAAGGAAAAAATAAATGCAAAGTCAAAATATGAATACAAATATAAATAAATAAATACTAAAATAGTATTTAAACTTGCATAACTGCATTTAAAGCTCAATATGTCTCTTAAAAAGATCATTTTACCCTTTTTATCTTACCTCTTTACAGGACTGTATGGAGATGTACTCAGTGAATATCTTCTTTGCTCTGGATGCCATTTTGGACAGTGATTTGATCCTCTTGAAGTCCTCACATGCCAGCCAAAAGTCTAGATTCTCTTCACTGAACTCTGTTTGCAGGAAGGAGCGGAAAACTACCAGGCCATCTGAAGAAGGGAAGAGAAAATTACTCTGATGCTTATTAGAAAACACAGAATAATTATTACAGAATCTGGGGAAAATCTGGATTTGGATCCAAGAGCAGAGGTTAAAGGGGGGGTTGACTGCGATTTCACTTTTTTCATTTTAAATAGTGTGTAATGTAGCTGTTGGTGCATGAACAGTATCTGCAAAGTTGCAGCGCTGAAAGTTCAATGTAAGCAGAGATATCATCTTTTTAAAATCAGGAAGTATAATTGCCTACAAAAGCGACCCGATTGGGACTACAGCTGGGTTATGGTACGTCACTAACCCACACATTTGCATCAACCCCTCCTTCCGGAATATGCAGAAAAGGACATGCGCATATTTCAGCAGCTCCAGCTCGTCGAGTGAGTTGTTCATCCAGCTGTCAGGTCTTCTGTATTCGAACTTCCCACGGACGCTGTACTTCGTCAATGGATACAATTTATGGTTGATTATGTTCCTGAAAATGACGATCATAGTCTAGCTCTCTGTGCTGCGCATTTTACGGAAGACAGCTTCCAGAATCTCCACGAGTTCAACACCGGATTTAAAAAGAAACTGTTACTAAAACGTGAAGCAATTTCAACTTTAAAACCAGAGGCAGCAGTTGTTGGGCCACAACCTGTAAGTAGGCTAAGACCTAATCATTTTAAATGTATTTTCATGAATATTTCCAGACGTAGCCTTGTGTTTTATTTTTTTCAAATGCCAGTGCTGGCTTTATAGCCACTATAGGGTACTAGTTATGCTATTGTGTCTATGACAAACGCGTACAAACATTATGGACCTGAATTTTGTATAAGTACTAATGTTTTAAACTTATTTTTCATGTATATATGCTTTATGACGTTATTTTCGATTTGATCAAGAACGTAAACTAATGCCAACGCTGTTTGTGTTTAACATTAGTAGCCAGTCAGTTGCTATTGTTGCCAGTCAGATGCTATTGTGTAAAACAAACGTGCATAAAGTTAGAAAATGTAGCAAATTATCATTCAGAAACGTTTAGCAAGAGCCGTGTGTGGTGAGGTTCTGTGTACTCTCTTCATCGCCGCTTTCTCGGTCTGATTCTGCCTCAAACTGATACTGCAGTTCGACACATATTTACATCTGGACCGGAGCTCACGTTTCGCCCGTAAAGGTAATGGGCGTTAACCTTCCGGACAACGTGAGCGACAGTTTAGCCAATCACAACACACCGGCCCAAACAAACCAATCTGAGCCCACTACGTGTTTCTGAGGGAGCGGTTTCATAGAATCAGGAAGTCAACCGCTCGTTCAGGGGACAGAGGAGAGCGCGGCTGACAATAAAGGTGAAGTTTATGAAAAATAAGACTTTTTAAAAAAGAAAAACCACGAATACATGTTATATTGCACCCCATAAACACAATCATGCAAAGAAAAAAAGCAGTCAACCCCCCCTTTAAACAACATGGCTTAAAATAGCAGTGACAGCTGCTGAAGTGCAGAGATCAACACAGCTGTCATATCAAATGTGACATATCTTACATTTGTGAGAAAGCAGCGCATCGAGCGACTCTGCCCATTTGAGAGCTTCCTCTGGAGTCGGTCTGTGGATGAGCAGACAGAGTGGTCAACAAAGCCATGACTCGCACTAATGATCCATTCAGATAATTGTAGCACACAAAATAGGCCATCTATTCAAAAACTCCAAAACGTCACTGTTGTTTTGATTGTTCGCAACACTTTTACATCAAAGCCTAGCCTATTCACCCATTCAATGTTTCTGAATGACTGTCTCGATGCATAAAACTATCACATGGACTCACTTGTCTGACTTGAAGACTTTCTCAAGCTTGTTGGCTGGATTGCTTATATGTCTGTCGTTGGTCTTCTTCCGCAGAAAAGTCAGGCGGTTTTTCATGTCTTTGGCCCTGAGTGACAAGACAAAAGGCATCACATCAGGTGATTTATTAGCTAACTGTTCACTCAAGTACTTCTGGGAGGAAATGTGTTCCGGTTACAGTCGTAAGCTTTATTGTAGGAGGAACATGGATAGTAAAAGCATAAATAATGCTTTCCTCCAGTGAACCTGAGAATGGAAAACATTACATTCATATCTATTAAACTAGAACACCTAAATAGTCCATAGCTGAATTCACTTAAAAAAGAAATAATATTTTGCATAAAGAATATTAAGCCTATTTGTAAGATTTTTTATGAGGCACATTCTCTTTTAAATGCTCAATACTGAAATGCAAAATGACTTGGTTGGTATAACCGAACAACATCATAACCCTTTTAAAACTTATGGTACCACATCAATCACCTAATAAAACATTAGAATGAGATTTGCTTCCCATTACAATAGGGAAGACAATGGACCAAGGGAAGTTTAAATCTGCACAGTTGTCATGAAAATAATGTTACCCTGCAAAAATGTAATGGTCCAACAAATAGGCAAAATTTTTATTATTGCAAAGTAAAAAATAACTTACCTTTTTTTTTTTTTAAGGGTGAAATATGTCCCCAACATTACTTTACAGTTTTATGAGATTTCATCAATAAAACTGCTAATGAAGAAGAAGAAGAAAGAAAGTTGCTTGACTTACAGATTCTTAGATTTCTTCTTTTTGACACCAGTTTTTCCCATGTCACATTTACAGTTTGGTTTGCCACAAACCTGTGGAAGATTAACAAAAGGTCATATCTTTAATTAATTAAGTATCAAATTAATGATGTTTAAGTGTAAATCATCACTGACACTGTTGAAGTTACATAAGTAATGCAAGTTATGTAATCAGATAAGGTTTATGCATTAGCACACATTGTGTACTATATTGCAATTAATATGCAAAAAAGATTTTTACGTGCATATAATATGCATTTTTCGCATTTCATTTGAGTGTAATACACACACACCCCACACCACTACTAAATCGACCCTAACCAACCCATGCATATCCTATGCACATAAAAACTAATTTTCGCGTATAAATTGCACGATAAATACACTGTGTGCTATAAGGACGCATTTAGAGTGATTGGGTTGATTTATGAGATGCGCTCCAGTTCACGCGCCGGCGCCTCTGTTTGCTAATTATATTATCTACTATATTTGCTTCTTGTTTATTAATCCAGTCAGTTTGTTTATTAAAAACATTGATTAAAATGAAGATACAATTTATACTAAAAGAAATTCACTCAAAACAAAACTTAATAAGTGGTCAGAATTATGTCTGACCCATTCCAAATATTTTCCGATATATGGTGACTCAATCACTGATGGACCCAAGAGCGTGCATTTTGACATTTGCAGTAAAAAACTTGAAATATAAATTCTCAGAAAATGCATATAATACCAATATATTGAAACATCTGTTTATATACTCCATTAATAAAGGAGTCCAGATATAGGTAAAATATCGTTCCACATGCATTTTCCATTTAATATGATGAAGGAAATAGACATGCATGAGTGACACAAAAAAAGGAACTCATAAATCATGAAATTTCACAAATCCACCATCTCTTGAGTTTTATTAAAAATCTTTAACTTTTAGGTATAGCTAAATATTTTTCAGTAATTCTGTCAATTACACTAAGGTTAGATTTCATTGAAGGTAAATTGGAGCGGCCACACTGAGCTGTGCGTAAATCCCACAAACATAAAGTGAACGAGAGGCTGTCCGGTACTGTCTGAATTGGTTAAATAACTCAGTGGCGAATGGCGATACATGTGCAAAACAGATTTAACTAATCATAAAGTCAATCAGGATACATAATACAGCCTACTATAGGCCTACACTAAAAAAGGCTATCCTGAGGAGGTGCCTGACTCGAGTATGCAAATTATAGTGGGCATAAAATGACCTGACTACTGTATAAGTCAATCGGAAAGAGTCAATGCATGTTAACCTGGAGCCACTCCCTAAGCTTTAATTTCTCTAATAGCAATAAAAATGTTCAGCTTTAATGCTCAATTGTAAGGTAAGTCTTGGCCTTACTCATAGACCAGGTAAAAACCTAAAAGCCCAAAGAGTAAGGTTGTGATGCTAGCTATGTCAGTATATTGATAAAGCCCCCAAGCTACTGCTTGCCTTCTTAACTACAAGCTCAAAATACACAAGGAGCATAGTGGAAAGGCTCTTACCACCTTAACCCTTGAGGAAACTGCAGGGGTGCTAAAGATCTACAGTAGAGCAATAGGGGAGAGAGCTCAATAGTGGAGAGAGCCAGTGCTGTTAATAACAAGCCGGGAAGCCACCTATCTTACCAGGTCCCCAAAGCCTAGGTCGACCAGAGTCATGACTATTGGGTTAAGTCACCTTTTAGTGCTTTATACTACTCAGATTGTTTCAAAGCAGCTTTACATGGATATCACTAACTATATCATAAATAATGATTCAATGAAGCAAAACAGAACCATCCTACATGGAAACAGAACTGGTCCAAGAACTTAAGCATACCACCTGGTATGGGCTCTGCACGGTGGTATTTCCGGTGAAGGTCTAATGCTGCGTTCACGTGCTATGGAAAATAGGATATTTTCCACTTGTGAACTGATATTTACCAGTGTGTTGCGTTCAAGTGCTTTTGTTGTCGTAATGTGGTAAAAAGATGGAGATCGAGACCTGTTATTTAGCTAAAACTATTTCAGATTGCTTAAGTCATCTGCTACAGCAAGAAAATTATTTATCAAAACTCAAAAGGTAAATAATATGCTGTATATTTTCTAGATCATTGAATAGTATATAATTATTTTTACCATTCACGACTCTCGTGGTGCTCACCGCCATTTTGAAATGGTCAAAGGTTCTCATCTCGGCAACTCGTCCATCAAAATATTCTACGAGTTGGTAAATACCACACGAGGGGGTGTTCATGTGCATTTTCCACGTCGGCTTTTGGTATTTATCATAATTGCCATAGCACATGAACGCAGCATAAGTATGCTCGATAACTTCCACCGATCGTAGTCCAATGCAATACCGAGAATTTATATTGAATTTTATACACCATGGTTATACTAAAGAAGCGTTAGTCACAAAAACAGACACCCCTCGTTTTGTTTATGCTTCTTTTTAAAATTATATTAATTAAACATAATTGCATATAAAATTACATCTAAACGTACGAAAGTTTCGTTTCAAAGACGGGAGGACAGTAAATTTTGAAGACTCTGCCATAATCCCGTTTTCCTCGGTTTTCCTCCTCTTTAATCTCCCCAACCGGAAACTGACGAGCATCCTTGCGTCAAATGCGGAACTTATGCGTGCAATATAGCCCATTACTGCAACACAGGCATGATGTGCAGAGCACCACTGCCCAGGCCTACTACTGCACAAGCCTTCTCCACAAGCAGTGGTTTGGCACGGCTTTCAAGGCAAGGCATGAGCCTTAAGTGAAGATCCTTCCTCAACAGAGGAACCACTTCTATCTTCTAATGATTTGAATAGACTGCCATTGGCCAATAGATTGGCATGTTTACTACACGTGTTCAGACACCGGTCATGCTGAGGGAGTTCCCCAATAGCGTTAACTCCAGGCGCCGCTTCCAAGTTCCACTTTGAAAGGTAACTGCATTGATATGTTAACTAACAAATATTGTCGGGGGGGGGGGGGGGGGGGGGATTTGAATCGATTCATAAAGTTAATAAATCAAAATATTCTAAACGTCAACGATTTGAATCGATTCATAAAGTTAATAAATCAAAATATTCTAAACGTCTGTTAATGTAATGCTGAAGGAACAAAGAATTTTCTTGAAACGGGGCCGGGGTAAAATTAATCTTAATTGATAATAACAATTCCATATCAGTATTTTAACGTATAGAAATAGCCTTAAATAATGTATAATTCCCAGCACACATCAAGCTTTTTTGCACTTTTTACACACGAGAAGCGCATTCATCGAGGACAAGCCGTGGTAACAAACAATATCTGCTTGTAAAAGTGAATGAACATATCACATATCTCAGTCTAAATTACTAAATGTTGAGAATGCAACAGAATTTTTCTAACTCCAAAAGTTCAGCCACTTATCAGAACCAGCTGATAATCACACATTTTGAAGATGAAAAAGACCTGTGCATGCTCACTCCATGAGAGAAGAATATGAAAGGCTGAGCAGCCCCTCTGTCTTCACTGTGCTTGAGTAAAATAATAATGTGGTTACAAGGTGTGTACAATTTAAACTACCTTATTAAATAACTGCACTAACAGAAGCTACTATTCAGTTTGCATACTGCAGCTCTCCTTCTAATCTCTTGTGAACTCTTTCCTCTCTTCATTAAAGCTCCAGGTGAAGGGTTGTCAGATATCACAAAAAAAGCAAGACAAGTCCATTTAAAACACAATAATAAACAGACATGGCAAAACTGTACCAGAGAAACAAATATAAACTGTATTACAAATATTACCAATATCCTTATGTTTAGAAAATATAAATTGATTGATAAAAAAGTAAAACTATAGTAAAACTATATAAATATAAATTGATAAAAAAAGTAAAACAAAAAGTAAAACTATATATTTCTTTTATATATATATATATATATATATATATATAAGGAGGGGAGCTGCAAGGACAATAAATTAAATAAAAATTCAAAAACAAGTTTAGAATGAAACCTAAAATCAAATCTATGCATGTATCGAATTGTAATTTGATTAAAATCAAGAATCAATTTTGAACCAAATCGTGACCCCAAGAATAGATTTTAATTGAATACTGGGTTCCCGAATGATTCCCACCTCTAACAAATATACTATATGTATTTAATCTCACTTTATTAGCCCAGGGCTTTTCCATAAAAAGAAAAAAAAAGTCTTATTTAGGGAGTAATGCAATATTAATGCGTAATTTTTTCCCACACTGATCATTAAGGTTTTTACAAAAGACATTTATATTTAAGTTTTAAACTGATTTTTTATTTTTTTTTTGAATGCAGAAGTATTTGAAATTAACAAATTAGTACAAACCCTCCTTCCAGTGAAGAGCAGGCATATCTGGTGGACAGATCCTCCGTTCTTGGTGAGCTCTTTCCTCAAGGTCTGTGGAGACGGGACTGCCCAGCGCTCAGGAGGTTCCCGCTTGGTCTCTATGCAGTCGATGGCCTGATCGGAGATGAAGCGAGGAGACCGGGGCTCTTGCAGCAAACTGCCCTCACTGTGCGTCCGTCTGTGGAGGGACCTCTGCACACACAAGCCCCCGCTCTGCTCCCCACTGCAAGGAGATGATTCCACCATACTCCTCCTCTTCAGAAATCCTTCATCGCTGTCTTCGTCATCTTCTTCCTCTTCCTCCTCATCATCGTCAGTCGACGGTGAGGTCAAAGCATCTGTGTTGAAGGAGCGATCCAGGCACAGCTTAGGAATGACTAGAGGGGAGGAAGATGACGATGAAGATGTGGGTCTGGCACCAACGCTAATGGTCTCGGAAGCGCTCTCACCCTCCCCCTGCTCCCTTTTCTCCAGTTCTGACTCTTGCCCACCTCTTTTCACCTCCTTCTGTCTCTCCTTCCAGATCTCTGAGGTCTCCATGTATGGAGGTTTGCAGGCTTCTCGAGGGGTCGTAGCGGTTTGGTTGGCATCTCCGGTGCAGCTGTGCAGATCTGGGTAAGAGAGCTGCTGAGTTGGAGAACTGCAGTTTGTTCTCCTCATGATAGGCGATGCAGATGGGCATGATGGGGAACAGGGCTCAGACACACTGTGCGGGCTGAAGCCCAGCAGACCCAGATCAGTCTGTTCGCCTGCATTTGGTTCCAACATCTGTCAATACATAATTTAAAAAAAAAAAAAAAATCAACATTTTACAAATGGCTCTGGATTAAAAAATTGTCTACTGCTAAAAGAAACTGAAGAAAAATGTTCCCCCCCAAAAAAACATGCTTAAAATGAATATTATGCAACAGATTTCATTGCATTTCACTTGTCCTCTCAGCTCTTAACACCTGTATATCCAGTGGCAAAACCATAGAGCACACATTCTTAAAATACTGTATTTTTTTATTTAAATGAAAAACAACATACATAGCAAATAATAAACTGTATATTAAATGTTTAATTAAAATATAAAATGTATATATTTGTAGTTACATTTAAAATTGTATTATTATAAAATATTATAATTATATATACATTTACATTTACATGAGGAAAACATAGAATTGTGCATCATTCAAACTGAATTATAGTCTATGGTATAAAAAAAAAAAAAAATAACCAAAACCCATCCTCCATGAAAAACGTCACACTAATTATGTATGAGGTTTCCGAGACTAAATTCCAGATATTAAACATTATTGATTGCAATCAGTTTTGACACGCTGTTTTTTTCTCTCTTCAGAAACATAGAAACAGATCACCAACATAAATTATGTTATTAGAAAAAAATCTATCTTACTATTGCAATTTTTTTTTTTTTTTAGATGAAATATTAGTTTTGAAAATACGTCAAAAACATCATTGGGGTCTCTGGAACACCAAACATAAAAGCAAGAAAGTCAACAGAATGTGGGAGCTAAAAGCTTAAGAAAAGTAGAAACAGTATTGATAAATATTTAATCCCAAAGAAAGAAAGAAAGAGAGAGAAAGAAAGAAAGAAAGAAAGAAAGAAAGAAAGAAAGAAAGAAAGAAAGAAAGAAAGAAAGAAAGAAAGAAAGAAGACCAATACACCAGTAATACTGGCATTATACTGCACAACATTTTGTTTTCTTATGCACTAGGAGCAATAGGAAAGCAGAAAAAAAACTTGGAAATTGAATTTTACACCTCCCTATTGTAAAGGAAAAGGTTAATGTATTCACACTCCCTACACATCTAATAAGCTCATAAAGTACTTTGCTGGCAGCACGACTGACTCACAAGCTCTGCTCTTTAGAAGCATAGCACAGAAAATCTGACACTAGAAGGTAAAAAATGCTGATATAAGCAGCTAGAATGTCATATGTATATGCTCGCTCAATTGTATTTTAAACATTTTGTGCAATAACCAATTATTAGATGATAACATACAAGATTTTACTTATACAAATGTAAAACTAGTCACATTGTCCTTGAGTTGTGTTAGTCACGTCTTGTGTCATGTACATTTTTTTAAACTTCAAAACAAATTCATACATCCATCTCTAAAATACCTTCTTAAATGCCAATGAAATCACAACGAAGGTGCTAAAGATGAAAAAATATATACTGTATATTTCCAGCAGTTACACTGCAAAAGCTCAAGACATACAGAACATGCAAAAAACAATGTACATTGCCTCACCTTCAAAAAGATCTAATTTTTCGCCCGTACGAAGCGAGTAATGTAGTCCTCCATCATACTAGCATGCATTACAACAGTCCTGTTCTCTCTCTCTCTCTACACTCTCTTTCTTTTCCCTTTCTTTCACGCCATCACATGCGCGTGTCTGCTTGTGCTAGTCTGATGATGATGCCGCTGCTCTCCTGATGTCACTTGCCCACCAAGTGGAGAAAGTGAGAGAGAGCATGAATAAGAAACAAACATTATGTTTAACTTGTGCACTGTATAGAGTGTGACAAGCATTTATAACAACTGTGACAAAATGTTCTCACGCATGCTAATTAAAATGAAATGAAGCTTTCAAAATTGTGTGATTTTCTCCACCTTTAAAATGAAATTGCTTTTCCGTTAATGTCATCAAAAGACCTCTTATTTTTTAACCTCTGCCCTCCAACCACATCGACGTTTCACGAACCGATCGACTCTGATGGATAAAGTCAATAACCAACCCTGCTTTTTTTCTCATTGAATATGCTGTTTTACATTACATTATTCAATCAAAGCATGTTGCGAACACAGTTTTACATTGAATTTAAAGAGAGTGCATTTTCAAAACATTGTTTAAAGTTAAATAAGAAAAAAATCTGCAGATGCTAGCAGTGTTTATAAAGCCCTACCTCTCCTGGGTAATTTTTCTAGAATTGCAGACATGCTGTGGTTAAATGCAAAACCTAAGTGGCTGTTTTTGTGAGCAATTGTGCTTGTGTTTGATTTAGTACCTGGTCAGGGCCTATTCTGTCTCTCAGGGTGAGCTGCTTGTCAATATTGTCTCTCAGACACTGGACGACCCTCCTCTTCTGCTCGGATGAAAAAGCTTCCAGGCTGAACAGACACTCGGTCCTCTACAAAGACACACAAAGGGATTGTGTTGTGTGTGTAATATGTAAGAGAAAGAAAATAATTTCATGTTACGGTCTTATTGATTTGAGGAAATAGAAGAAATTGACCATTTTTATCACACAAGGATGCTTTTAAAAGCACGTTCTACCTCCAAAGAAACCTCAGTGTCATGTGCTATTATGCTGGAGTATGGCATATGAGAGATGCAATCATACTCACTTGCACATTCATGTCAGTGTGTGTGTATGTGCGAGGTGTTGTCAGGGAGATGGGCAGATGGCTGGGTCGATGAATGTGTTTGCTCGAGTGAGCAGGCACGTTTACTCTGGAGAGGAAGAGCAGCTTTAAAGGCTCTAATATGTGACGTAAGCCCCAGGCACATGAGGCCCTCCATTTATCAGCCGCACAACATTTACATCCTGTAAATGTTTACCACAGGCCCATCCTGTTGGATCAACGCTTCGATGGGAAACGCATTACATTGTGTGATTTGTATTGCGGTGCACAGAGTTAAGTCTTAAAATGTGCCGTGAGCAGAGATCTGTGCTGAGCGAGTGGGTCGGTGGTTAGATGCAGGATCTCACCTCTATCCAGTAGGAGATGTACAGCCGCAGTTTGTCTGCAGGAACTGGAGAGAAGGAGACAGAAGTGTGAATTTCTTCACCCCGAGGCTGTCAGGGTGTTGTTGTTGTTTTTTTTTTTGTTGTTTTTTTTTTTTTTTACATTCCTCCGGAGGATGTTAACACCCACATGTACCCAGATATAGGTTAAAGGTGCTATATAAATAAATAAATATGTATTATATATTACAACTTTTTACACCAAAAATATTAAATTACAAGAAACCCATAGATGTTCAGATTTTATATATAGTAACCAAATTCCATCGCACACCTGCAGGTGATAGGTGCGTCGGATAATAAGACCAGACTAGCTAGTCGTTTTAGCAGATAAGAAACTCCCGCACACTATCGTTACTTGCAATTTAAAATTAATGTTTATTCACACACGTTTCGGTCACATGACCTTCATCATGAGTATACAAAATGTTCAAAATCATCTCTTTTTAGATAAGCACATTAACAGAACTCCATCTGTAAACAATTAAGCTCATTGGGAGTACATAATTAGCACCACATCACAGACAATTACAAATTGTATTAGTTACAACAATCTAAAACATTGAGAAAGTGACTTTGCCACCTAGAGGGGGAGACATTGAATTACTCCTACAGAGACGTGAGTTGTTTTGGATTTACACTCTTCAAACTTTATCACCTATGAATGACAAAGCATTATTTAATGTAATGTTATAGTGATTTTTTTTTTTTTTTTGAATGATATGTTGTTTCTACTATGTATTTGTAATGAGTTTAAGTGGCTAAGGAGCCTGACTGTTGCAACTGTTGATGTTGTTTGATATTGACGTGTTGATTGTGTGTTTTGGATGATCTTGTTGATCTACAGGGTGATCTTAACGTTGTGTGTGAATAAACATTAATTTTAAATTGCAAGTAACGATAGTGTGCGAGAGTTTCTTATCTGCCAGATTTTATATATAAAAATGAAAACTATTAAAAATAAATGCTGTTAATTGTAATAAACTGTAAACAAATACAATTTAAATAGTAAAAGCCAATCTTTAAATGAAAATAAGAAATGGCAAATGAACTGAAGTAAAATAAGTTGAAGTTGAAATACTAAAATTACTAAAACTAAACTAAAAAAAGAAAGTTTAAATAGAAATATTTATATAGAAAATATAAAAAGTAAAAGTTAATTAAATTAAATACTATAATAGTATACAATTAAATAGGCTATATGTATGAATCACTTTTTATTGTAAATGTGTGTACAGCTTGTAATGAACCAAAAAATGAGACCTTCCCCGACTGCCTGTAGACATATTTTTATGTGAAGGATTTGGGAAAATTAGAAGGATGTGACATTTATGGGCACTCCTAAGAGCCTCTCTTCTGTTTAATGACATGAAACGAATGCTTATACAATGTTCAGGATAATGCTGAAAGAGCCATTCTGTACTGTAATGTCAATGTGTCATGCAAAGAAAAGGGAGAAATTCAAACTATAGTCTCACATTGCAAAAAAAAAAAAAAAACAGTAGCAGAGAGTGCTACATGCATTCATACACTCTCTTTACATAGCCACTGATGCTCACTGGATGCACTGGAGGTAAACATCAAATTATGAAGATGAAATGCTCCAAGGCACTCATGTGGTAAAGTAAACAGCCTTTAATCAGCCTTTATAGTCGCACATTGTCAGATAGTATATAGTCTCAAATAAACATATTATAACAGTGTAATTTTAATTACCTCATCTGTCTACATGATGTCGGTGAATTGCAGAGTTCCTGCAAACATCTTTGCATAGCTATGTAAAGCTTTTTAACAGTTCTACCTATAAATGCAGTCTACCTATAAGTTCAAAGTCTACCTATAAATTCAAATTTAGTTGTTGTAACCTTATTCAATCAGGTTTATGCAACATAAAACAAGAGAATGCTGTTTTAACTTAATTGATTTACATTGACCCAATATACAATGTCCAATAAAGCTCAGGATGGACACATTCGACACATGCATACTATGACTGCACCACACCTAAAGAGGGCATTCTGAGTTGTGACATGTGTCAGCTATAGGTCATCTGCTCTGAAGGACAAAGAAGAAGAAAAGGTTTGTGTTTGGCTGCTACTTGCTGATTGGCAAATTTAGCTTCAATGAGATTGTGATTTTGGGGCTATTATACACATTATGTTTCATCGAAGTGAAAATCACAATTGACATTATAAAACAAACAAAACAAACACTAAAGAAAAGATAATTTGTATGCCTCTTGTTCAGTTTAATTGAAAAAACTTAATTAAAAAAATAAAATAAAAAACTACATTAATATTTTTTGTTGACATAACTAACTGGAATAGTTATGCATTTCCCAAAAGCAGCCCTGGGCAGTGGATCTGTAGTTCCCAGCATGCTTTGTAAGAGACGTCATTATAGAATACACTCGCCTAAAGGATTATTAGGAACACCTGTTTAAATTCTTATCAATGCAATTATCTAATCACATGGCAGTTGCTTCAATGCATTTAGGGGTGTGGTCCTAGTCAAGACAATCTCTTGAACTCTAAATGGGAAACTGAATGTCAGAATGGGAAAGAAAGGTGATTTAAGCAATTTTGAGCGTGGCATGGTTGTTGGTGCCAGACGGGCCGGTCTGAGCATTTCACAATCTGCTCAGTTACTGGGATTTTTACGCACAACCGTTTCTAGGGTTTACAAGGAGTGGTGTGAAAAGGGAAAACATCCAGCATGCAGCAGTCCTGTGGGTGAAAATGCCTTGTTGATGCTAGAGGTCAGAGGAGAATGGGCCGACTGAAGCTGATAGAAGAGACTGAAATAACCACTTGTTACAACCGAGGTATGCAGCAAAGCATTTGTGAAGCCACAACACGCACAACCTTGAGGCGGATGGGCTACAACAGCAGAAGACTGGTCTGATGAGTCTCGATTTCTGTTGAGACATTCAGACGGTAGAGTCAGAATTTGGCGTAAACAGAATGAAAACCTGAATCCATCATGCCTTGTTACCACTGTGCAGGCTGCTGGTGGTGGTGTAATGGTGTGGGGGATGTTTTCTTGGCACACTTTAGGCCCCTTAGTGCCAATTGGGCATTGTTTAAATGCCACGGCCTACCTGAGCATTGTTTCTGACCATGTCCATCCCTTTATGGCCACCATGTACCCATCCTCTGATGGCTACTTCCAGCAGGATAATGCACCATGTCACAAAGCTCGAATCATTTCAAATTGTTTTCTTGAACATGACAATGAGTTCACTGTACTAAAATGGCCCCCACAGTCACCAGATCTCCCACCCAATAGAGCATCTTTGGGATGTGGTGGAACAGGAGCTTCGTGCCCTTTATGTGCATCCCACAAATCTCCATCAACTGCAAGATGCTATCCTATCAATATGAGCCAACATTTCTAAAGAATGCTTTCAGCAACTTGTTAAATCAATTCCATTTAGAATGAAGGCAGTTCTGAAGGCGAAAGGGGGTCAAACGCAGTATTAGTGTGGTGTTCCTAATAATCCTTTAGGTGAGTGTATACAGTATACTGTAACATTTTGTATACAGTGTGTAATGATACTGTAAATTACACTGCTTGTTTGAAGATTAAGCCTTATTAAATTGATTAAAAAATTAGGTTGGACCAACATAAAAAATTGGTGTGTGACTAATGGCCCTTTTCCACAGCATGGTACGGTACAGCACGGTTCGCTTCGGCTTTAAATGGTACCACCCATGTTGAGGTTCTAAGTGTACCATACCAATACTAAAATGTGACGTGAACACACTGCAGATCACTGATTGGTCAGAGTCAGACAGAATCGTCACTTCCAGCGTGATTGTATTTGCAAAACATTAAACCCGCTAGATTTAAATAACAGACACCGCTGTAGCACCAGTTTTAAAACAACTTGCTTGACTTGCTTGAAAAAAGAAAGAAAACTTCCAAAAAAGAAATGGCTGAATCGTGGTCAGTGGACGAAGTGCAGACGTTCCTCTCGTTGGTTGTCGGTTAGACTATAATCCCACCCACTTTGAAGCGGTACTAACTGCAGTGGAAAATCAAAACGAGCCGTGTCGTGCTAAGCCGAGTCGTACCACGCAGTGGAAAAGCGAAGCGAGCCGAATCGTGCTACGTCGAGCTGAACCGTACTGAGCCGTACCAGCAGTGGAAAAGCGCCATAATGTACTGAAGTTAAAAATACTAGTGTAAATTAATTTGACCTAAACTAAATTGTGTTGACCCAACTAAAGTCATTTATTTTGAATGAACTAAATTAAACTGTGTGTAAAAATGTATATGAATACATGTAATAATATAATGAATGATTATTTGGAGTGTATTCACATCAAGGTGGAAAAGGACTTTCATCTTATAAAACCAAAAAGATTATATCAAACTTAACCTAGTTTTGCCAGCAAGGTAAAATTACTTATCTACTGACACTTATGCTTTCAGTGCACCTTGTTGCTGTTTTTCAGGTTGTTTGAATTCAGTTATAATCATCTTAAATCATGTATTTCATTTAAATAAAACCAGTTATTGTACATGTTACCACATGAAGTATATTTTCTAAATAGAACTGACCAAAAAAAAACAGCCCCTTTAATACTAAAATTACACTGATATATTAAACTAAACTCTAAATATATTTCCTGGGCAAGGGTGAGGTCAACCAAAATGAGATTGGTCTATTCTGGTCCTGTTCTGGAAAATTACTAGCCATGGGAAGCCAAACCTTATGCAAATTTGAATAATTCCAACTACATTTATACATAATTTTCATATCTAAATGTATCTGTATGCCTTGAGCACACATTGTACAAATTGACTTATTAATACCGTGATATTAATTTGGTCCCTCTCTAAGCATTTTTGCCTGTCAGTTCCAATAATGGACTTTGACTGTAAAGTGGCTTTAATGCCATATCCAAAAGGACAAAGGTCAGCATACTGATGGCTATTTCAGAAACCAAGATGTCAAATAAAGGTTGAAGATAGAAATGCCCTCTGTGCCACATGCTGCCGTATTTCTGTTCTCAGGAAGGTAAAGAATACACGGTCCCGCCCACCCTGCCTATAACGGGCCTTACCGGAGACATGGCCATTGTTCCCAGCAGACACATAGAGAGAGAGCTGTGTTCTCATCACACACACATACTCATTCCCACAGTCTTGACGCCTCCTTCCTGACTGTCGCTACTATCACACAGTCACAAATAACACAGGGTGGACCTCCTTAACATCCCCTGTACTCTACTCTAAACAATCAACCCAGAGATATTATATACAGATAGACTGAATGATTGAGACAGACAGACTGTCAGGCAGACAGACAGACAGACAGACAGACAGACAGACAGACAGACAGATAGATAGATAGATAGATAGATAGATAGATAGATAGATAGATAGATAGATAGATAGATAGATAGATAGATAGATAGATAGATAGATACATAGATACATAGATAGATAGAAACAGACAAACAGAAAGATAGACAGACGGACGTACAGACAAGGCAGATGGATGGATGGATGGACGGATGCAGGGATGGATGGATGGACACCAGTAGATAGAAATTTACTTCACTTCAGAAAGTTTATCTTAACCTGATGTAAACCAGGCACTAGAACTACCTTTGCTTTTCTAAAATGCAGCAACACGTTGCAGAGCTCAACATTAGAAATAGCTGGATGGCCCAGGGCCAGTGTGAGATTTTCGGAACAGTTGACAACTGAAACAGGCCAGTGCTGTTTTTGATCATACACGTTTTATGTTTTGTGCAAAGTGATGTATTTAACATTGTTGATCTGCATTCTACTGCTTTAAATAAGTCAAATATTTGTCGAAAATAGCTAGAATAATTTGTGATGGATAAGAACCATCAAAAAGTCATGATTTGCACTATATCCCATATTTTTTCCCATACTTTTTTTTAATATAATGAATGATTTATAGTTTTTATATAGTATTTTAGTAATGATATAATTAAAAGCCTAATAAATAATTTGTACAGAAAAATATAAATATATAAAATATATGATGCACATACTGTAAATGTGTAGATTTGTTTTTGTGGTGGGGCCATTGATACTCAGAAATTAACCGAGTTAACGGAGTCAAAAAAACTTATCCGAGTCAAAAAAATCCTTACTTATTTATAGTCCTTATTTATCTTTGCCACAAAGTTAAGTGAGAATTGTAGTGCATACCGTCCTGCAGCTGTATCTGATGGAGGTAGAGTGGAGACTGTAGTACATTACAGCGACTTGGTTCATCTTCCCTGGTCAACAGCATCAGGTCTGTGTAGATGAATACTGTAGCCTATAGGGGGCGATACAGACAACAATGAGTTGCAGCGCACTGAAACATCCCCGTCTGACCTTCTTGTACCACTCTCTTAGGACAAAGATCATTTTTTATAATGGAAAACATGAAAGTCAATCTTAATTTAAAATAGAGAGCAGATGTGGAATTACACCGAGAATAAACTCCTTCACTTAAATAACATTATATAACTACAACACTTGTTAAAGTTACAATGAATCAAGTAAAGTCAAGTTAAGGTTATTAGGAAAGGGAAAAGCTCTGATTCCCACACAGAAAGCAGCAGGCTGGTTGCACTGCTTTGCCTCTCATGGTGCCCACTGCCCAGGCTTGGATTTAGGCCAGCTTAATAAGAGAAGCTGAACTAAATCACAGTCAAATACACACACTCTCATTCTAGGACACTAGAGGAATGTGTTTAGTGATGTACAGCTCATCCTTCTTAAACACTCTGATCTTTAGAAACTCTTGACTACATTACTCAAACAGGTCTTTCGGCAAAATTGAGGTCAGCCTGCATGCAGACGGGGGCCTGCGAGCGAGCACAAAAGATGGGACAGACACTCAAAGGCAATTGCTATAGATACAAAGTAGGTTTTGGAGGCCATTGTGGCAGTCTGAGATTTATCTTTGCACAATATTGCTCATGCTGAGGAATCCGAGGTCATGTTTTTCACAAACTGCAGGTTTCTTTTAAAGCTGCAGCAGAAATAAATCTGGGATCAAGGTATCTGCTTCCACATTATGTGGAGCACATATTTTGTGTCGGGCATTACTGTCAACGAGACAAATATTCCTGTAGTTTCCAAACGATCGTTCAGTGAAATGGATCATCTAGAGGTAGTGTTTCGTCTAGCTTGAGAAAATATTGGGGTCTCTGGACTAGCAGGCTTTTAGAGAGCCATCATGAGAACAAGCTCAAATCTGAGCAAGCAAAATAGTCAATTCTCCTGAAACGGGACACCAGATCTAGGTCACCTTCAGAGCTCGCAAGCAAGACATTACAAGAATCGTTTCTGCATATTTTATTCAAGACAAGACATTTTAGACAGCATATCTCAAGCTAGATTTCTGTAACCTGATCAGGGTCTTACTTAAAAGGATCTGAAAGTCATTAATTGTTAAAACTAAATGCAAAAATGTTTTAAACATGGCAATGGTCTGCAATGAATGTTGACAGATTCACCAGATATAAAACATTAAATGTCTCGCTTATACAAAGCTATCGCATAGCATAATGGAAGGCATTATATAGTGCTTTTTCAACATTTTTACCTCATTCGCAAATTGTGAACCTCACAAATTGTGCTCAGATTTGCCAGTCTGCAATTAAATGTCATGAATCTCAATAAGAACTTAAATATTTCTCATTAAATTCTGAAGAAAAATGAATTGGGATGTGACATCCACAACATTTTTATGGCGCTACACTCATAGTATATTTGTGTAGTAAGTTATAAATGATTTTGTTAGATAGTTAACCCAAAAATAGGAAAATTATGTCATCATTTCTTTCTTCTGCTGAACACAAAAGAAGACATTTTGAAGAATGCCAATAACCAAACAGTTGATGGTAGCCATTGGCATATAGTTCCATTATAGTAAGTCAATGGGGCCCATCAACTGTTTGGTTACCCATAGTTTTCAAAATGTCTTCTTTTGTGTTTAGCGGAAGAAATAAATGCATCCAGGTTTGGAGCAACTTGAGGGTGAGTAAATGATGAAAGAATTTACGAATTTTGGGGGGTTAAACTATCCCTTTAAGTCCCTTAATTCATAAAAGACAACCTCTGAACAGCATATTTTCCTTTGGGGAGAGTGACAGTTAGTAGCATTACCTTAAGAGATACGTGTTTACTGTCATGAAGGATCATTTCCTCTGATAAAATCAGGACTCTCTCAGGGCTGCACAGGTCCAGTGGCTGCAATGCAATTAAACACTCATTAAAGCCTCAATATTTGCATCATGTTAGTCATGTCATTTGCACAATGGTACGTGTTAGTACACCACATCCCAGGCCTTGTCCTAAATGTAACCCTAAGCCCCCGTGATCTTTCTCCGAGTCCAAACATTTTAATGACAGAATGGCGCTTTGACTGTAGGGTAGAAGTCTGCTGCAGAGCTCGCAGGCTTGGCAAAAGTGTGCATCGAGGGCGCATATTACTATGCGCACTTTTGACAAGCCTGCGAGCACCCTTCTGACAACGAAAAATTGGACAGCCTACTGTCTTGTGGACTTAACGGGCAGTGTGAAAGTCAATGGCTACTGTCAACTGTTTAACGACAGTCTTCAAAATATATTCTTCTGCGTTCAGCAGAGGAAATAACTTCATACAGGTTTGGAACAACTTGAGGGTGAGTAAATGAGGTTACACTTTATTTTAAGGTGTCATTGTCACACTGCACTTATACATTTAATATGAAGAAAATGAATAGTTGAATAAAGTTGAATTTTTTTTTTTTTTTCGCACAAAAAGTATTCTAGTGGCTTGATAAACTTAAGATTGAGCCACTGTAGTCACTAGGACTACTTTAACAATGTTTTTAATAACTTCTGGGCTAGCAAGTTTCAATCCCTTAAGAAGCCTATGGAGGAGTGATCCAGCTCTCAGATTTCATCAAAAATAACTTAATTTCTGTTCCGAAGATGAATGGAAGTCTTACGGGGTTGGAACAACATGAGGGTGAGTAAATACTGACAGAATTTTCATTTTTGGGTGAACTAACCCTTTAACGTAAACTACTGACTAGTGTTGGGCGATATGCTCCATTTTCATATCGTCCTATCGTCAGCCTGTGAGATCGGCGATACACGATATTATCGTGAGGGGGCGGGGCTAACTTATTTGATTATTAACTTGATTATTTAGCCTACTCATTAATTTGCTTGTTTTATTAGCCTACTTTGTTTTATATACGAGAATCTTTTTTCTATTTTGCTAGCAAAGGTATAGTGTAGAGGTATGGTGAAGTAAAAAAAAGAGATCCTAATCCTTTTGTTTGTCAACGGGAAATTTACGGACACATTAGCCTATTCTCATGCCATTACATGCAGCATTTTGGTCTATTTCTGCACGAGATGAAAACACGTTTTAATAATTTCTTGGATCAGAAAGAGTCGGAGTTTGCGATATGTGCCCCCCTACCAGTGCGCTCTCTGCGCACTTCACATGCGCACTTCAGTAAGCACAAAGTACGCGGGTTAATGTGTTTTAAATGCCGATAGAAACAAGAGCAAGGGCCAAACGTCTAGCTGAGTCGATCGGTTTATACTTATACTTATGACTTGACTCTGATAAAGGAAACGTTTACATGACCACATGCATTGTCAAGTTTATTCAACATAATCAGGTTAAGAACGTCGTCGCATGTAAACGCGCTCTGAAAGTGAAAGTAAAAACGTAAAAAAAAAAATCTCTGAAAGTGAAAGTAAAAACGTACTGCTTTCGGCATCTGCATTAACGCCGCGTTCCCTCAGAGACGACGATGATAACGGTAACTATAATACTATTTTAGTGATATTATTATTAATACTATTTAGTAATTGTATTGTTTTTAGTGTTAGTGTCATTAAACGTTTTGTTAATGTGTTACAGAAACAAATACTGACGAACAACGATGCCGTTTTCATCTTGGATCTGTAGGAAATTGAATTTTGCGTCTGTTAAAACGAGCACACTTGATAATTTGTGAATGGATCACCTTGCGATTGAATTTTGATGTGGGATGTTTTTTAGTCTGTTTTAAAAACATTCTCTTAGAGGAGTCCTCATTAGTGCGTGTGTTGTTGCAATTGTTATGAGGTGATGTCGTTGTAAATTTAGGCAAGGCAAATTAATTGTAGTTTCTAATATTCATTTAATAACAATACTAGCTTTATAATAATAATAATAGGCCTAATAATAATAATTTAATACATTATGGTAAAACGAGCCAATTATCGTATCGATATCGTCAAAGGCATCTGCCATCGGCGATATGTCAGACTATCGTCGATACACGATACTATCGTCTATCGGCACAACCCTACTACTGACCTTTTAACTCTGCACTAAATTAAATATAACAGAGATTAAATAAAATGAACCAATGATAAGGATTGCATCAAAAACTGGGAAGAAAAACAGATACTGAACATACCTGAACAAAAACAGGGAAGATGAGAATCTTAGGGGCCAGACTGACATATGTGCCATAGTTGGAGTGAGGCAGGTGGGACTGGACAATGGTGCAGTTCTGGTAGTTGGCAAAGCTCTGTCTGTAGGATGAGGGAGGCATTGTTGTGGTCTTACTGCTCATAGACCTGCACAAGGTGGCTTGTGCGCGCAGTCCACCATCCTGCAGGTAGTCTGGACTCTGCTGCAGTCCTCTGCTAGTCTGATAGATCCTTCCTATAAGAAGAAATATCATTAAACACTCACAAAAAGTACCAAAATGTGCGTTTTTAAAAATGTAAAACATTATCAATTATACATTTATAGCAATTCATATTTATAAAATAATAAAATCTTACTGCCCCCAAACTATGAATATGTATGATTATGAATATGTTAATCATTCTCTGCCATGGTATGTCAATATGCCTGACGGTATTGCCATCTGTCCTACAGGCTTGTAATGACTGAATCTACAGTTTTTTGCTTCTTTCTAAAAGAGCGTATGCAGCGATTTCACATTTCAAACTGATTTGAGACTAGCCATCATCAAATCTTAACCTAAACATGTAAAGCAGAAAAGGTAAAGCTTCTCATGGGCTGTCTTACCTAGAGTTCCCAGTGTGCCATTGGAGTCAGAGTACACTGGCTGCAATATCTGTAATAAAAACATTTACAAAGGAGACACATTACCCCAGCCATCAGTCAGAATGAAAAAGAATGTAATTGCATTCAGATTCCAACCTGGTTTCCCGGGCTGACAGGGGAGAGGATGATGTAGTTGTCGCCGTTTGATGATGTCACACGGGTACCTTTGAGGGTCTGGGTGCGTGTTTTGTAGTCATTTTCTTCTCGTTTGCCAGTCCAAGACCACAGTGACTCTCCTATTCCATTTCCTGCGTTATCAGGGCCACTTCCTTTTTTACGACGACCCTGTTTGTGATTGGTGGGTCGAGAGAGTAAAGGTGGGGTTTTGTTTTGTGTCTTTGCAGTTGAAGATTGAGAATCAAATCCGGAGGGTTTGTAGGAAGGTCTGTGGATAAGACCCTCGTAGTAAGGCTTCATAATAGGCACTGTCCTCCATACCACCACTGTGATCTCATTTCGACAATTCCTGCAGGAAGAGAGATCATTTTAACAATAAGGCCTAAATGGATTTAAAAAGAACCGTTAAAGAAATTAAAATTAAATCAGCATTTGTTCACTCATATGTCATTCCAAACCTGTTTGTCTTTCTTTCTTCTGTGGAACATAAAAGCAGATATTTTGAAGAATCGTAGTAACCAAACAATTCCGGTTCCCATTGTGACTTTTGTTTTTGTCCTTATAATGGAAGTCAATGGGAACTGACACTGTTCAGTTACCAACATTCTTCAAAATATCTTCTTTTGTGTTTCACAGAAGAAAGAAAGTCATAGAGGTTTGTAATGTCATCAGGGTATGTAAATGATGACAGAATTTTCGAACTTAACCTTTACCTCATTAAATGATTAGCATTAAGAATCAGAAGTGAAATTGTTGTGAAACATGTGGCTACAAAATGATCACCAAAAACATCGCACCTGATGGCATGAGCCAGGTCCACACACTTCCAGTGTTCAACCGGCTGGCCGTTCAGCTGCAATACTGTGTCCAGCTGCTGCAAGCCAGCCTGGTGAGCCGGACCACCTAAACAAAATAGACAAAAACACTTGAGATCATAAATAACAGTTAAATAAAGTATGCCCATTAAAATTGACAAATGACATCTCTTCAATTAGATAAAATGCAGAGCAAAATAAGTAAATAACATGCAACTGCAATGTTTTAAACTATTCTGAGATTTACCCAAATACAAATAAGTATGCAATTCATCAGTCAGATATTTCATTATGAACATTTCAAACATTTCTCATTAAATTCCACAAAGATTTACCATTTATGTCTATTTTTAAATTAGAAATGAAGCTAGTGGAGCTAGTCACAGGGGTAGTACCATTAAAAGGACAACTTTTTTATGCATCTAACCCTTAAAGGTGCATATTAATAGCTTAGAGTAGTATTATGTACCCTTAAGTTACTGATATGCATCTTTTTCTGAGAGTGTGGCAAAACCATGATATTTAAGAACCTTAATTAGTACTTTCTATGATTACTTCTCATTAGGATTTTAAAGTAGGACATCTGAGACAAAGTTGATACTCAAATGAAACAACTAAGAATCCCATAATGTCTCCTGCGCAATGAATGATCAACTTTTGAGCCATACATTTTACATACCATATATACATTTACATTGAGCCATACATACATTTTACTCTGGATACAATTTTATAATAATTTACAGGGATACTCCACCATTTTTTTCATATTAAACTATGTTATTCCCTTAACTAAGACTAAGAGTTGATACATACCTCTGTCCTCTCAGTGATAGCACTTAACTAGCCCAGTTCATTCAATATGGGCCAAGCAGAGAAGCGACAAAACACCTCCATGTTTTCCCTATTTAGATACAGTTACTCGAGCAGTGTAACTCGACCTAGAACGGTGGCACAAAATAAAACATTGCACTTTTCTAAGCGTGTAAAATGGATAACTATATTGTATGGCGGAATACCACAGCAAGTGTTTGGGAGCACTTCGACTCAGCGCAGTAATATCATCACTCAAGAAAAGTCCTCTCCCCCCTCTCACTCTCCGGAGTGATGATATTACTGCACAGTCCATAGATATATATGTGCCAAGTTGAAGTGCTCCCAAGCACTTGCTGTGGTATTCTACCATACAATATAGTTATCCACTTAACACGCTTGTGCAGCGTTCATGTTGAAAAGCGCAACATTTATTTTGTGTCACCCTCCTTATTTTGTGTCCACTACTCGTGTAACTGTATTTAAATAGGGAAAACGTGGAGGTGTTTGGTCGCTTCTCTGCTTGGCCCCTATAGGTTATATGCACGCATAAGTTCCGCATTTGACGCAAGGCTGCTCTTCAGTTTCCGATTGGGGAGATTTAAAGCAGAGGTAAACCGAGGAAAACGGGATTATGGCAGAGTCTTCAAAATGTACTGTCTTTGAAACGAAACTTCAATACGTTTTGATGTAATTTTATATATAGTTATGTTTATTTAATATAATAAAATAGAAGCATAAACAAAATGAGGGGTGCCTGTTTTGTCTGTTTTTGTGACTAACGTTTCTTTAGCATAGCCATAGAGTATAAAAACCAATATATAAATTCTCAGTATAGCATTGGACTCGGTGGAAGTAATCCAGCATCCTTAGACCTTCACTGAAAATACCGCCGTGCATAGAGCCCATTGAATAAACTTAAGTGCTATCAAAGTGTTTTTCGCGCGCCAGAGCGATTGAGTGCACGCACTGAGACTCGTCTTAGTTAAGGGAATAGCAGTTTAATATGAAAAAAAAACAAAAAAAAAACGGTGGAGAATCCCTTTAAAGCTAATTATTTGAAGCTAATTAAAAATTATATTGATATTGATACATCTTGAGTTTTTAAAATTACCTGGATCAACAGCCTGGACCCGTACAGGCGAGTCAGAGCAGATGGTGAAGCCAAAACCATCTTTTCCTCTCAAAATGGTCACCTGTGAAAGAGAACATACATTTACAAAACTATTTTTTTTTTCAGAAAATATTTATAATTTACAAAAGATTTCAAATAAACGCTGTGCTTTTGAAGGATATACTCAAAAAATCCTGAAATATAATGGTTTCCTCTAAAATGTTAAGCAACACAACTGTTTTCAACATTTATAATAATAATAATAACAATAATCAATAAAACAGTTATAAAACAATAAAAAAAATCTTGAGCACTAAACACTGAACAGCTTTGGAATCAATTACATTAACACAAGAAAAAGACTGGAGCTATGAATCAAAAGTTGGTGTTGACTTTCAAATTCAATTAAATGAAAGTCATTAAAATATAGCATTCCTGGAAAAAAATAAAAACCTACCCCAAGTGATGCGTCTTTTATACAGACTGAAATGAAATTGACCTCAGCCTTTACAGAACATTCAGGAAGACAAACTACCCACAGTAAGAGTACAGTGTAAGGCCCCACAGTAGCCGGGTCAGAGAGTGTGTCTGAGTGTGTGTGTGTGTGTGTGTGTGTGTGCTAGAAACAAACATCCCCCCGGAGTGCCACTGTACCCCAGAAGCACGAAGACTGAAATGCCACAGCACCAGAGTCAGGGATATTAAAAACTACAAGCTGAGAAATTAGTCAGGGTTGCTGGGTGATCAAGAGGCTTTTCTTTTTCCCTGGCAAGAAAAGGAAACGACGGGGGGAGAAAACTGCCATGGCACTGACAAACAGCAGAAACAGAATATTTGGACAGTAGAAGTTCAAAATGTCAACAGAACCTTGAGCCAAACTAAATAGGAAATGTTGAAGGGGGGGGGGGGGGGGGCGTCTCACATTTAACATGACATTGACCGCACAACAACAAAGAGGCTTGTTTAGGGAGGGAGAGAGAATAAAAAGAGAAAAAGTGATGACAGCTCTAGGACTTTCACTGCCATTCCTCTTCTCTCCTCTGGGTCGATGTGGTTGCCCTCGTTATAAGCCCCATTAATTGCTGTGATGAAATAATTATCCACATCAAACTCCACTGAAGCAGTTTCCTTTTTCCACTGTTGCTGTCTGTTGTTCAAGTTCAAGTTAAAACAATGAGACTCACCTGTGTAGTCAAAGTATTGACAGTACTGAATTGAGACTAGCTCTTGTTGTGAGAATAATCATGCATTACATCCTAATCCAGTTCAAAATGATGAGCACATTTGTATGGTTTTATGATATTTATGGCTTCAGGATTTATGAATGCTAACTGTATTAAATACCTTGAAATGTACACATTGGCTAAATGTCAAAAGTTACAAATAACTGTTATTTATTACAATAAAACATTATATTACATTATATTTTATATTATTTTGCAACATTTGATAATTGACCTTGCCACGCTGCGACCGCTCTCTACGCTGAAGCTTTGCATTTAAAGAGCTAATAAAATATTTCGTCTCAAATCAATATTTTGTGTCTAATTATTTACTTGCGTGGCAAGTAGCTGTGTAAGAAGCGGGATAATGCACACCCTGTCAGGGGTTTATTCAGATATCACAACCGGCTGGATGTACATTTTCCCTTCCTTACAGTATATCATATTATTATGGTTTCGTGATTTATAGATTTGTATTTTCGTTATTTGTTTTTATATTCTTTGCATTTGGTTCATTCAAAAGAAGACTAAATAAAACAGGACAAAGGTGACTAAGAAGATGGTTGAAACATGCTGGCAGTGTTGTAATGTATCAACTAATGTATCAAGCACTTTTTTTCTCATTTCAGTTAAATAAACATTTTATCCCCTTGTTTTTTCCTATCATTATTAAAGGCAAGCATCACAGACACCCTCCACCCCTCGACTTCGAATCCGGTCACTCTATTCATCAAGTCCTGTCAATCACAGCACAAAGATATATAAGTGGCTGCTTACCTCACTCATGTGACTACTCATCCGGCATCCCTCCTTAACCTCATCCGCACTCATATTTCTAATATTTCTACCATATACAGTATTGATTTCATTGATTAAGTTAAGTCTGTCCCGGCTGAGCTTGTGCATGAGCGTTTCCATTACGCACAGCAAACCCAATCTGTTTACCCTCATCATTCTCAAGGATCAACCCATATCAAACACTGGAAAGGTTTGAACTCTTACTACTACTTTAGCTGACGCTTTTATCTGGAGAAACCAGGGGTTAAGTGCCTTGCCCGGCGGTGAACGCTCATTGCGAAGTTCAAGCCTTCAACCAGCCCAGATCTTTAAACTTTAGGCTAAACCACCACACTCAAACATTTCAAAATAAATAAAAATACGCAACGCATCTATCCGAGACCAAACATGCCAAGACGGTTCAATACCAGTATCAATAACAATACAACCAAAGTAGAAAAACAAAACAAAAGAACAAACCTGTGGCAAGTTTCGTTCGATGCAGAGCCGGCATAGACCGTGGATTGTATGCATCGCTCACCGTATATACGTCCACCTACATCTACGGCGCTCTTTTCTGTGACTTGAATAAAAGTAAAGTCACACAGGTGATGCTGCTTCCCTTTGCAGTCGCTCTAGTGCGGCAATGCATGCCCACTCATGGGAACTGCTCTGAGCAGAAGAATGACAGGAAACCACCTTCCACCCCCCCAGTCAGTGGCCAGGCAGTATGTCTGCACTCGATAAGCCAACATGTTTCCTGAGTAGCTCTCAACAGTAGTGGCTGAACTCACTCTCTCTGCGCAGTGAGATGGAGCTCACTCAGATAGGCTTGATTCAGTGTAAACACAAACATGCATCATGAGCCAGAAACATTAAAGTGCGCACAATGTTTGTTTAATGAGAAGCTGGACAAGCATAGGCTGACAGACGTGGAGGACGTCCAACCCTTGTACAACACCTAGATTCACGAAAACAGTGTTGAAATTTCCGAAATCCATTATTCTGATGTACACTCAAGCAGGTTCTGTGCAAAACCGACACAATACACCATAACCCATAGTTTGTTTATCTCTTATATCACCCTATTGCCGATGTACCAGATAAAACCAGTTATCGCTAATAAGAAATTCCTGGAAGGTCAACAGCGCAATCTGAAAAATGGATTTTCGGGAAGAGAGGAAGGAAATGGAAGAATGATTAGCTGAATATTTGACCGGCCTCCGCGTAAAAATGCAGGGAACCAGCAAGAGTGTCAGTGGAGCGGGTATCAAACAGGGATAAATCATAAACACAGTGCAGGATTGGGCTTCCTATTGCAGCCACTTTGTTGGCTTTTCCCGTTTCCCAGCTTTGTCTGAGGAGAACAGAGCGGGCGGAGAATAGTCCTGGGAAAAGTTGCTCACTAAAGTGGATGGGAGGGTTTAATGAGCAAGTATGTGTGTCGCACATATCCAAAAGTACATCCATACACCTCCTCATATTTCTACTGTCCGTCACATTAGCACGCACCACAGAATAACGTGAATTCCCAAGCTGATGGAGTCACATTTCTGATTGCTAATAAACTCTTCTGAGTTTGCATGCAGCATCATTAGTTCTTTTAGTTGTTGTCAGCGTAGCATTAGTCTTCGATGATAGTTTCTAACATTACAGCCAAAGCTATTTACTACAAACAATCCAGCAATAGCAAAGGAATTGTGTTTAAAGGCCAGTTAACTAAAAATAAAAATTAAAGCTTGAAATATATATATATATATATATATATATACACTTATTTCAAGCTTTATTTTTTTATTTGTAGTTAACAATACCGGCGATATATATATATATATATATATATATATATATATATATCTTGATCAAAATAAGTTGAATTAGAAGTCCTAAAATTAATGAAACTAAAACTGAAATAATGTAAATAGATATTAAAATATAAATTAAAATGGCAAATGCCCATAAAAAAAACTTCTAAAACATAAACTAAAATTAAAACAAATTTCAAAGCAAATTTCAATTCCTGTGCAAATCTAAACTCATCAACTGGTTGGTTTAGATGCACTAAAGAATTAAAGAATACTAAAGAAACTAAAGAATAGCATTACCTCCCAAGATCTACAATATTTTCTAATATTTTCAACCTTTTTTATACAAACTACACAACATTTAAAATGCCAACAATCCATAAATCCTAAAGGACATCCTACACTGTAAAAAGTGAATATATATATATATATATATATATATATATCTACATGATCTGAGAATTAAAATAAAGTAACACTGGGTTTATTTAATACAAATATTTTGTCTTTAAAAATAAAAATGAATGAATGAATTTAGATGTTACATCACATAGAGCAAATTTTAAGTTCAAAATGCAAGCCTACAAAAAATGAACATTTGAAAATCAATGAAATTTCAAATGTTATTTTATGAATTACACTTACTGTAAATGACTGCATGTTCTCTGGACTTGTGGTCTTGGGTCCAGCTTCATAGTTGGATGCAGCAGCTTCTGAAAGATACACAAGAGAGTCCCACGAGTCCCAACCAGACAGACTGCTCTTTGAGTACATCTTAGCCCTGGGTAGAAATATCTCTAATCCAGAACTCGTTCAGAAAGAGGACAGCAGAATCCGGTCAACACTATCTGCAGGCTTCAGCTGAAAGTGAGTGTGTCTACACCATGAGAGATGAACTCAACCTGAATCCCTTTGACACAGAGCCGACTGCCCCAGAACAGAGAGAGAGAGAAAGAAATCTACTACCCTAAAAGCGTTACCCCCACCCCGACATCCAGCGACAGGCTCCCCCACTTTGTAACCATAGAGATTATGCTCCCAGGAAGCAATGTCTTTTTAAACATTCTTCATGGAAACAGCATTCAAGAGGGACACAATACAGCTGGCTCTCTCTATTAAAGTCAGCCCAGTGCCTTGACTCAAGCCCCCCTTCTTTCTCTCTCTCTCTCTCTCTCTCTCTCTCTCTCTCTCTCTCTCTCGATCTCTCTCCTCCTACACCTCTCTCTCTCTAATCAAACTTAATCTCATCTGAATTTCTCTGACGGCACACGTGTCATTCTGTCCACACCCCAGGAGTAAAATCGCTCATTTTGTAAGCAATAATTAAGATGATATCTTACAGGCGATGGGACAAAAAAATGCCTTCGCATTAAATATTACATGTTTTTTTCATCGCAAAGTTCCCTACGGAGCGGCAATGGGAGGGAAAGAAGATCCCTAAAGTGGATTTAAACTAACTTAGACACACTATGACAATTTAGCCTTTTAATTCTCATTTAATTCCAGTGGCTCATCACAGTGCACAGTGTGTCAGCCCAACTGGCCCCTGGCTCTTTATTACGGCTCTCCGCGGGGATGCTGTACGTTTCAACACCGAGCCCTCTATATCTCTCCTAGAAGTGCAGGCAAGGCTTGTTCATTTAAAGGAGTAATTCACTTTTAAAAAAACTGTTGCTGATAATTTACTCACCCCCATGTCATCCAAGATGTCCATGTCTTTCTTTCTTCAGTCGAAAAGAAATTAAGGTTTTTGATGAAAACATTCCAGCATTTTTCTCCATGTAATGCACTTTACTGGTAACGGTTCAAGGTCCAAAAGACACTTTCAGTACAAAATGCAAAGTGTTCGAAGGGCTTAAAATGATTCCAGATGATGAATAAGGGTCTTATCAAGCGAAAAGATCACTCATTTAAAAAAAAAATAACAACAAAGTTTAAGTTTTATGAGCTCAAATGGTCGCCTTGCTCTTTTCTGTGATCTGTGATGACTCTCCTGTTCGAACTCGTTCATAAAAATGAACGAATCTTTTTCTGAGTCAATTCGTTCATTTCGTTCGTGGAATATACCAAATCACAAGAAAAAAGATTTGTTCATTTTCATAAACAAGTTCGAACTGGAGAGTCACGAACGCACATCACAGAACAGAGCAAGGCGATCTTTCGACAGAAGAAAGAATGACATGGATATCTTGGATGACAAGGGGGTGAGAAAATTATCAGCAAAAGTTTTTTTTTAAAGTGAACTACTCCTTTAACATAGCATTTGGTGAGAAGTAAAACAAGAAAATTCCATTTAGACTCAGGGATCGTGATACAAAAGTAACTTTCGCTGCAAGGAGCTTGTTTGGTTTTAGCAAGGTCAAGAATAAGCATGTCCTCCTCCTCATATTTCTACAGTCAGTTACATTAGTGTGCAAACTGCAGAGCAGCTTTTATTGCCAAGCTGATGGAGTCACATCTCTGACATAGGTGAAAAACTCCATTGACTACATGCAGCACCAGAGGCTTTAGCCGTTACAGCTGTTAGCTTAGCGTAAATCTTTAAAAATACTTTCTAATGCTACAGCCAGGCCTTGGCTTTTATCTGATCTGCTGTTGTTTGTGCAAATCGAAACTCATCAATTGACCCTTCGCTTTCACGGCTGGCCCATCTATTATAGTGTGGATGCACCCGATGTCAGACATTCCCAATAAGATAATAAGTAATTTTCGGCAAACAAGTGAAATATCTGAGAGAGCAAGACAAAAGGGACTACAGTATGCATTTGAGGGATATATTCACGACATTATATGCAACCGATTAGAGAATAATTTCTTAAAAATTGAAGTTAAAGCCTAACGTTATAGTCCCAGCACAAGCAGCAGCGCCTCATACGCTGACCGTATGGGAAACACAAATTGAGGAGCAACTCTATGTTCATACACAGCAGGGTATGTGAAAATAATCTTAATAATTATAAATCAAACAGCTTATCAATAAATCTTGTGGAATAACACTAATACCGGGAGAGCCGCGATCGGATTGGGTTAAGTTAAGGGGTAACGTTAGTAGGACGTCGATTAACAAAATGCTGAAATATATTTTAAAGTAAGTCAGTGAGCCTTTGTCTTGTCTCTTTAATCGTCTTATTTTACGTTATATCATTATGACCAAAGAACCGTCAATATTTCCAAGCAATACTCTAGGTGTTTTTGCTAAGCATGTCGACATTTACCAGAATGGATCTTGCACATAGATGCTAGATCACGCCAATCATTTCTCCCCTTGGCTTTTAGATTTTCTGGAAGGAAAACAATTCCTCTCCCCCGTCAAAACTTTTAGTATACCGGTATCAGATTTGCACAATCCATACGCACAATGCTTCAGCATGTTCCCTCGTTCGAAAGCTTGCCAGACCTCCCGTGCATAGTTACGGTTGCTAAGACATGATTGGCCAGTGGCGGTTTTCGGGCGTGGCTTAGCGAAGCGTCAATTGGTTGGTTTAGAGACACTAAAGAATCTTGATGATAGATTATAGAATGCGTGGTATTTGGTAAGAAGTAAAAACATGAAAATTCCATGTAGACTTATAGGGATTTGGATACAAAACTAACTTTCGCTGCAAAAAGCTGGTTCACGCAATGTCAAGAACATCTGTTATCATCTGATCTGCTGTTGCTGGGGAAAATACTGTCATGTGGAATTTGTCCGTCTTCATTGTTAAAGGTTATCAGAGAGTGGCTACGATCCAGATGCAAATAAATGAAAAAAATAAAAAAACAGAAAAAGAGAAAGAAACGGCATTTAATCTCACCAGCAGTCGGTCTGATGCGACGTGAGGCCACTTTTAGATGTTTGCTCCTGCCTAGCTCCTCTCCCAGGAGATAATACCAACCTCTGATCTCCTGTCAGCAGAAAATGTGAAAAATACAATTACACAAAGAAAGCCATGGGAAGAAGATGCTCGTTCCTTCACCAGGTTTTACATTTGTAATATCTGATGACTTGTAAATGCATCTCTCGTTAAAAGTATTAAAATGAGGCCCTGTAGTTGTCTGCAGCGCTCTGTTGTGTGCTTGTTTGTAGGTTTTTGAGACCTTTGTAGCTGCAAACAGCTGATGCCCATTTTACACTCCGGCTCAGCCAGATGGCATTGTGTTATATAAAACATCCATCGGGCATGATCTAATTTTTCCTAAAATGTCACCCTCCGGGAAAGGATTTACTGTCTTAACACATGAGTATAAAACTCTTAAATTTGACAACGATACATAATGTAAAGGAACAGGGATATCAGATGGGATATATCTTGTTTTATCGTTCAGGCGAGCATGCAGAATAAAGTCACTATGCCAGCTTTTTTTGCGGTATGCTGCTTTTGGTAATTGTAGGTCATTTTTCAAGCCTCAATGAGCAGTCCCGTCGCCACTTCCCCCACTGTGTAATTAGATGATGGTGTGGTGGAAATGCTTTGACAAGAGGAGAATGAAATGAAAAGGAACATTTCGTTAGATAAATATAAAATTATATCTTTCTTAAAGAAAGTCAAACCTAAGTGGTGTTACAATAAAAAAATAACATTTTGGTTTTTATATATTCTGCATTAATTAGGTCAAAAGTGACAGTAAAGACATTTATAATGTTACTAAATTAAACATGTTAAAATTGACTCAGCAGTCACCTAATCCATTGACAGTTTAGCAGCACCCCTCCACCACCCTTCTAGTCCTAACTACTTATATTGGGGGAGTACTCAGGGTTCGGGTCGAACTCCGAGGTTGGAGCCCTCCACCCGGACAGCACGCCAAATACGCATTAAACTTTACCCACTCTAATTGTATGTAAGTGTGAACCCGTGAATTAATGTATGAGTGGTGGGAGAAAAAAACAAACCACACACAAAAAAAGAAAAATCAATAACCATTGCACTAATACTACTGTAAATTGTAGCCTATGTAACCTCTTAAAGCATGAATCAATATTCTGTCATATTGGTAAAACTAAAAATCCAAAATGATTGACTGGGTAAAATCATTATGGGTAAATGTTAACAACAGGATATTCCCCTAACAATGGATTGGAGCAAACGCACACCTTTTGGAGGTGCAGGTTAGAAAGGCAAAAAAGTCAGTGTGCAGGTCTATTTTGCTTTTACAACAGAATATTTACCTTAGATGAGGTGATGAGGGAGTGGACACCAAAACTCATACAGCCCAGGAAGTCACTGCGCCTGTGGGCAAAATCAAACACTCTAAAACAAAACAACAGGCGTGAATCTTCGAACTCCTGATAACGTCACAATGATATTCACTCAGTTAACCCCACTTAGATCATGTTCACTGCCCTGTGACACTGCTGGTGTAGAAAATCCAGCCAATAACATTGATTTTGTACTGAGTAAATGTGGCATTTGCAGCATGAAGATAAAATACATACTAGAATAAATGGTAACACTTTAGAATACGGTTCTTTCGTTAATGAATAACTACACAAGAACTAATTAGTAACACAATATTAACAATCTAGAAACTATTATTAACTAACAAGAAACTCTGATTAACGAACTAGTAAGTAATAGCGCACAGACGAAAGTGGTAGTTCACTATTAAGTAATCAATAACTACTATTTTTTTAATACTTCCCAGAGAACTACTGAAAAAGTTTATTAACAATCTAGTAACTACTATTAACTAAAAGAAACTCTTATTAACGAATTAGTAAGTAATAGCTCACAGATGAAAGTGTTACTAGATACTTCTGTGGGAGTTACTAATTATTTGGATTCGTATTATAAAGTGAAGATCATTGGAACTAACTAGTAATTACTCAAGTGTTACTAAAGACATTTTCTAAAAGTATACTAAAGTTCACCAAAAATCTCAAACGGTTGCACAAATCATGACTAGATCATGTAGTAACACTTGAGTAATTACTAGTTAGTTTCAATAATCTTCACTTTATAATACGGATCCAAATAATTAGTAATTCCCACAGAAGTATCTAGTAACACTTTCATCTGTGAGCTATTACTTACTAATTATTTGGATCCGTATTATAAAGTGAAGATCATTGGAACTAACTAGTAATTACTCAAGTGTTACTACATGATCTAGTCATGATTTGTGCAAACTTTTGAGATTTTTGGTGAACTTTAGTATACTTTTAGAAAATGTCTTTAGTAACACTTGAGCAATTATTAGTTAGTTCCAATGATCTTCACTTTATAATACGAATCCAAATAATTAGTAACTCCCACAGAAGTATCTAGTAACACTTTCATCTGTGAGCTATTACTTACTAATTCGTTAATAAGAGTTTATTTTAGTTAATAGTAGTTACTAGATTGTTAATAAACTTTTTCAGTAGTTCTCTGGGAAGTATTAAAAAAATAGTAGTTATTGATTACTTAATAGTGAACTACCACTTTCGTCTGTGCGCTATTACTTACTAGTTCGTTAATCAGAGTTTCTTGTTAGTTAATAATAGTAACTAGATTGTTAATATTGTGTTACTCATTAGTTCTTGTGTAGTTATTCATTAACGAAGGAACCATATTCTAAAGTGTTACCGAATAAATGTACTTATGGTACACATATAACTAGCCTTTAACTGTATTAATGAAGAAAATCAACATGTGAGTAAAAAAGGGTGAGGTCCTACCTGGAAGTTCGATTGCGATTCCATACTGTTAACAACAACCTCTTCTTCTGATCGTCTTCATCCACATCTCTGCAACATAAATGCAACACTTCAAAAGCTCATTCATCAATGTCCAGCTTCATCCAAAAACACAATGGCCTTCCCCTCCTAAGACTTGAAAAAGACAGCCTTTCTTTCAGCTAACAAGAGAGAGCCAGGAGACCCAGCCCTAAAGTCTCAGTTGAAAAGACTGATTGAGAAAGAGGCTGTCTGACAAGGTTTTAGGGAGCACATGAGACTAAGCATAAATTATTATTCTATAAGATAACACGACACTCTTCCACTTCCTTTTTTTAAACACAATATTACACGTGCTCTGTCGGTAGTGAACAATAAAACTCTAAAAGAATCACTCACAACATAAACGTCTCATTGAAAACAGGACTCTTGCAGTCCAGAACAGTCCTGGTCTTCCATCTCTTGCTGTGGTCCACATCTGGAGCAATGCAAATCTGGAATAAATAAACTGTTAAGTGCACTAGTTTAACATTGCTAGTGGATATATTCACCATACTCAGAGGGAAAATCAATCAACACTTGAATCAGGAATTAAGTGGACAGCTGCCAACACAACTGATGCTTTCTCATGCCTGAAACCTGCTCAGGCTGACATGAAAACGAGTTCATTTCAAGGGCAGACATCCACAGAGGATTATGCGACAAATAATGACAAAAATAATAACACATCATCACCAACAGGGAACGGGAGAGTTACTGCTGTCTCTCTGCTGAGAGAAAAATAGGTTTAACTTATTTTATGTGGTTCACAGTCACAGGACCTCATGTGTCAAAATACGGCCTTCACAAAACCCAGGTTGCGTATGTCAAAATGCTCACCTTCACATATGAGTCACATGGTCTGTACTCTCTTGCCATGAGTCCTCTGGTCTCTAAAACTTTAAAGAATGATAGCATGATTAAAAAATGCTCTAATTGGATTTAAATGCTGTAAAATAAGTAATTCAATTTAATTAATTATGAACAGTGTTGGGGGTAAATATAATCAATCGAGTTATGTAATCAGATTACATTTTCAAGTAACTAGTAAAGTAACGCATTACTTTTAAATTTACAAGAAAATATCTTGATTTTTTTTTTTTAATATGTTATGCAAGTTACTCCCATTAATTGACTGACACCTTTCCTGTCCACAAGTTGAGATAAATCAGGAGTAAGGTGCATAGCCTTTGTGTGCGCTGTCTAAATGTGGTTATTGTAGTTCTAGAATCATTTGAGCTTGAATTTACTCATCTCTCTTGCGCAAAAACAGATTGAGCATTCCTCAAAATGAATACTTTGGATATTACATAAACCTGCAATAATTAAAATTACATGAAAATAATCATTAAAAATAATATAAAAAAAAATGTTTAAAGACACAAAATATACTTTATGCATTTAATCTCACTTTACGAATCAGTGTCTTTGCTGCTGACCTTCAATGATCCAATTTAATCATAATGATAAGTAAAAATCTACAGTATAGACATGAATTTAATTTGCTTTAGCCTGAGGCTTATTTATTTAACTTTTGAGGTGAAAGAGCCTTTTTTGTTATTAAAAAAAACAAACAGAAACAGATGAGAAAAAATTAAAAGTATAACGCATTGTTTTCCATTAAAAGTAACTAAGCATGCAATTAGTTACCTTTTAGGAAGTAACACAGTATTGTAATGCATTACTTTAAAAAGTAACTTTCCCCAACACTGATTATGAACGTATGAAAGAAAGTTACCTGTAAGAGCAAGCACAACCACATGTTGGTCTTATTTTGATCAAACAAACTGTTAAACTTCAAAAGTACAAAGTACAAAATCTGTCCACAATGATGCTTACTTTGAACATAGAGCCACCCACTTCCCGGAGTAACTGTTAGTTTGAGTTGACCTGTGGTCAATGGGGGAAAAAACAACAAATGATACAGACACAGCATAATAAATTAATAATAATAACAACTTTTTTTTAAATTAAAAATAAATATATATGTAACCAATCAAAAGTTTGGGGTCAGTAAATGTTATGCTTTATTGCTCACCTATATTTTCACACCTTTAAAGGCTGCCTTTATTGTATTATTTTAAACAGTAAAAGCATTGTGAAATATTATTACAATATAAACGTCTATGTTACTAATTTAACCCCTGTTCCCTGCAGGAGGGAACTGAAACGTTTCGTCAGAAGTGAACTGATAAATTGGGATCTCGCCTGAGAGCTGCCTGATTCCACCACATCTGCTGGGGTGGAGAAAGGACAGGGCTTTAACGCAGAGAGAGTCGATCACTGCTGTTCCTTCTTACCCTAACAGTGAGGCACTGGGAAAGCATGGCTATTCTAAAAACAGAGGGGGGCGTCTGTAGGGAGGTCACATGTTCACATAAATAGTGTAGTGTAAAATAGTGTAAACAGTGTAAACCGCACAGTTCAGCCCGACGTTTTAAAATCATGTAGTGTGTGAACAAGGCTCGTTCACCAGGGGCGGAGTGGGACCAAAAAATCTACCGGGAAATTTCGTAGACCACCGGCCCTCGTCGCCGGCATGATTAGCCAATAGCATTTACAGTTTTACTGATTTAAAGGGAACTTTGTTGTACTAGTATGCTGGAGTAAAGTTCATAAATGGTCGTTCTTTCTCATAGTACTTTCTAAAACTAGTTGGGTGGACTCTGTGCCTCTAGGGGGGTTTGGGGGCATGCTCCCCCGCAAGAAAATTTTGGACATTTTAAGGTTATAATGCATCAATCTCATGCTCTCTGAGAGATCGAAATTAAGACCCATGAACTGCTCGTTGAACAAAGAAAAAACATTAATTTGTACCAGGACAATAAAGAGGGCTCAAATATTTTTTTTAGTTTTGAGAGTCTCAGTTTGCATTACATTATCAATGGTGTTTTAGGATACCAAACAATTATTATAATAATGTAATAATGATTTATAATTATTCCTATGACGTACTGTAAAATCCATTTATAGCCTATAAATGTGTAAATGAAAATGAGTATTTCAAAAGTATATTTTAACCTACATTACACTATAATATAGGAAAATTAAAATACTTTTGTCCTAATTTCTTCACTTGCAAGAAATAAACCCTTGAGCTTTTATTTAGGAGAAAACACCAGATGATCGCGAGAGCAAAGTAATCACGCAGAACAAACTGGATGCTATTCTAATGTCAGTTATTATAATGGCGCAACGCCATATGGATTCAATTTTAGTTCGTTGGCAAAATATAACGCTAGAGACCTTAATGTTAGGTTTTACATTTTACATCTTTACATATCTGTGTTGGGAAAAGGGAGAAGAGAGAGTTCGGCAAGGCGGATTCGAACTCGCATTCAGCGCATCAAAAAGCTGCATTCAAACACTTCACGCCCTACGACCTACGCCACTGGGACTGTTCTATGACGGGTGTCGTTTTGCTGTAATGACAGGCATTTAGTGCAAATATATGCTCCGTTATAAAAAATGTAAAAAAAAAAAATTGTTTTCTTCCCTTAGCTTGGGCCATGGCGAACTTCCAATAAATACATTTTATCAGACCGGGCCGGCCCTCGCGGCCTCGTAACACTACCGGCCCACCGGGAAAACTCCCGACTCTCCCGATTGCCACTCCGCTACTGTCGTTCACACTACATGATTTTAAAACGTCGGGCTGAACTGTGCGGTTTACACTACATGCCTTGCTCTCTGTGAAATCAGGAGTGTTCAAGTTGTTTAGCTGTTCACACCACACAACACAACGTGATTGATCCACAACAGGAGGTAACGCACTACATAGAGATGCAACCACGAACGGATAAGAGCAAATCATTTGTGACTAATGAGAGCTGTTTCAGTCGTATCATGGTACAGTCTAAATCCTGAAAATAATCAAATAAATAACGAGTTGACAATAACTGTCACCCAACGATCTTGTCTACAAACCATGTTTTGTCACGAAAAACCACGCAATAAAACGAACCAGAAATAACGCGAAACAGCACGTGAGCCAATATACCTAGCAAATATGGACGCCAGACAGAAACTAGTGCTGATTTGCTCTGAGAAAAAAATGCAAAAAAAAAAAAATAATAATATTTACCCGGTGACCTCAACCCATGCCTTGCTCTGATTGGCTGTAGCTCATGACATCACTGAGGTTGAGTCGCGCAACGGCTCAGGATATCTAGCATGCTAGATATTTTTCTGGGCTTGGTCTGCAAGCGTCTTTGCTGCGTTGCTGTATCTTTCATACTAACAGATTGGCAAGCGTTCATCGCCCGCTAATCCCCCGCGATTTGCACGTGATAACACCCTGACCTGTCGGCGAGCTCAACGATTTGCAAATCGGGCCTAAAATCCTGTAGTGTGAACTTGGCTTAAGGGAAAGGCACAAGCTCACCGACAGGGAAGCAGTACCATGGAAGAATACACATGTGGGATCACCCGTAGGTGAATCACAACACATGGGCTTTTCTGACCTATTCTAAGTCTTCACCTTCTGGGCATACACACGAGCGTTATAATGTCGGACGCCTCCGCCACGTCTGGGTGCCAAGGGTGCTGAAGGAACTCCATCCAGGGTTCGCCAGGTGGGGAACTCACCCGTGGAGCAGATAAGCACACGTATTAAATCCTAGGAGGGGAGTGGTGCTGCAAACGAGACACCAAGCGGGTCCTCCAAATTACTAGCTACTAATAGCCAGTAAATGGGAGGACACAGGCTATACAAGGAGATTATAAAAACCTTTCAAGTGTTAGGTGTCCCCCAGCCCGCAGGTCTACACATGTCTGTCAGCGAGTGCCTCACTGTCAGGGTCCAATCCCCAGGAAAAGGCGACAGTCAGAGTGGAGTGAGCACCCCAAGTCGGATGTTAAGACAACAACATGCCTGGACACTTGCTTTAGGGGGACTTCTGGTCATAGAAAAGCAAGGTTTGACCATGGGCTGAAGGTCTGGCGACAGCCTGGTGTGACTGCCACCCTGTGTGTGCCGCATTACCATGCCCATCTCAAGACTCTGCCGTGTAGCCAGTGCTGAAGCGGCGTGGCCTGGTAGACTTGCAGGGTTACCATCACATGAAGGCGGCCTGTCCAGCAGCACTGTAAGCCTTAGCAGCCAGATCTGCTGTTGTCTCACAGGTGTTGCACGGCTTGCAAGACCCACTGCAGCGTGTGAAATACTCTTTTAGGAGAACTGCATGAATGGAGAGATAGTCTCAGCCTCAGACGTCACGCCCACGGAACGTTGGCTAAACGTCTGATGCATATGGTACACTTAACTGGAAACACTTCAGGAATGTCGAAGTCGTCATCTGATTGGTTGAATTTTATCTGATTTCCGGGGGGCGTCAGTGTCGCGTTTATTTTCGGTCCGCCGGGAAACAAAGCGCAGATGTGTGATTGCGGAAGAAAAACTGTTGTGTTTATATGAGTGGCCTATGTGAGTGACAATGAGCATTTCTCAAGATCAGCTAAACGTATGCATGTTGTATGTCCCCTCCAATCTATTATGGAAGATCAAGTGAAGTACTTAATTGCGAAGGGTATATCAGCTGCGTTTGTGGACAAACATGAAACAGACGCTGACATCGCAGCTGGCCGATTCAGTATTCATATATAGGTCGCGCACACTGGATTATAAGGCACATAAGATACTGCAGAGTCAAACGTTTGACTGGGTTTGCGTTATGCATCCACTAGATGTGCTAAAGGCTAAAGGGAATGTAGCGAGTGCGCGGCGCCGGAGGTGAGGCGTTTATTTAGTAGGCGTGAGCGCACTGGGGCGGGGACGTAACTTACATTCGTGTGACAAAGCGGACATAAGATGGACATGAGCGAGTTCGTGGGTGAATTTAATAACACGGAGCGTTGTTAGCGCCTCCGGTGACTGCTGACTGACTTGTTGCACACCGGTCTGTTGTTGTGGGGACATTTCCACGCCCCGAAACATGACGCTGAACGAAACGAACTGTAATTGGTTGTTTGACATGTCGGTCTAACGGCCTTATGGGTGGGCCTTGACCGAAGAAAGCTGCTATGAATTCCAGACCTTCAGCCGTCAGTCTGAAGGTCTGGCTACGCGAGACTAATGGAGAGATAGCTCTTTTAGAAGCAACCACCACTGGCGCGCCATCCCACCAACACTCTCTGAAGAGCTTCTTCCTGTTCGTTGTACACACTCGATCAATGATTGCAGAGCAGAATCTTCAAAAGCTTGAATGGGTGAGTTCAGCATGCTTCCATTCAAACCCGCTTAGGGGGTGTCGTTTGTGATGCAAATATAACACGCCAATGTCCATTGGCATGTTTTGTTTACACTCTAAGGTGATTATTGGGCTTTCAGACGACATCCCAATTCGACAGTTCACTTCTTACAAGGTCGAAAGTGACTGACTAATAGGGAACATCTGTTTTCCATGATTGTGGATACATGGGAAATAACTTTTAACCCTTGTGCATCAATTAAAAAAAGTTACACATAGGTAAAAAGAGGACAAAAATGTCCATGTCAAAAAACTGTCATAAAAATGTGACGCTTTGGAGCACAGACTTAAGTTTGGTATCATTTTAAAGAAGACCCTTTGCAGATTATTGCTGAAGTAAAATAATAATAAGTAAATAAAAAAAAGTTATATAGGTATAAGTTTATGAAATTTTTTTATAAAAAATATTTTATATAAAATATATATTTTATAAATCAGGTTGAACTCAAAACTGCAATAAAATCAAAGCCATGAATCTAAATAGGTTGTGTTCCAAATTTGAGGATGATATCTCAAAAAATGAGCTTTGGGTAACAGTTTGTTTGGGCGTTGTAACATATTTTCCCCATTGAGTGCCAGCAAAACCCCACTGGTGCTCACAGTGACTGGATTTGAATTTGCAGTTTTTCTCTCTCAGTATTA